ATCCTGTAGCGAATCCGGCCGCTCAATCACTCTATACGATGTCGCCTTCTGTTCGAACGAATTCCTACTATAACAATGAATTCGACAGTCCGCGACCGAGAGGAGCTGATCAAGTGCCGACCCTTCGACAACCACCGTATCTGACCGATGAGAAACCACTAAGCTGTTATTCGTTTACTACACCGTCAACTAGCACGTTTATCTCACTTGTGAATGATTTCGAAGCTACTACACTAACACATTCGTCATGTTGTTTGGTAACTACTCTCTTTATTGTAAAGTTATAATTCGAAGTTATTCTTGGTAAATAGAGTTCCAATAGGCGTAATCTTGTCATGTTCGTCAGAAAACACGCACTCTTTACTAAACATTACCTTATCAATGATCCGCCTTCGTACTAAACTTCACTAGCTGGTTAAATTATTTAGCACGATCGCTACTAAAGGAAGGGTCACGAGAATCAAAATAAGTTCAAGGACGATTTTCAGCGATTTGGAAGGCTTATTCTTTCCAGTTTATTCATCTCAATCGTCTAGTGTTCAATATGAAGCGAAATGTTCAGAGCCCGAGTGTTTGATAGTTACAAAATTGCCCCATTCCATCGAATACTTGACGATTTTCTTCTACTATTGATTGACGACACAACAGTTGATGTAGTCTAGGTGTCGTCGAGTGCAGTTCGTACGGAATTACAAAAAGCGACTTAAATCAGATGGAATGCGTCGTGCCGACTAGATTTGTTTCTATCAAACTGAGACTTCCGTTATCTATCCGTTTATTAGTGAACTATCGCGTTCGATTAGAGGTGTGAATGAGTTCGATGACCGTGTTTGCGTTAGTGCTTGTTTGTTTGTTTTGATCATTGTGGTTTTTGATTGAAGTTGGTAGTCTTCGGCGAGTTCTCCGTAACTGGTGAAAGTGCGAAATGAACAATTCATGCGATTGTGTCATGAATGCGAACAAGGTCATTCAACGTTATTCGCCAGTGTGACACATAGCAAGTTATCTGTCAATTTTCATTAATTTCCAACGACTGAAAATTTTCGATGGCGAGAAGGTAAACTGACAGTAGAAATAGCTACTATCCCTAAATGATTTAGTTCTAAGCCTTCAGAAGCTTTATATGTCACAAAATAGCTGAGGTGGTGGTTTTTTATCCCTCCGTCACTATTTGTTCTAATCATTGCGACCTTATGTTTATCTATTTCTTAATATAAGTCTTATGTCTTGGTTATTTACATTTGTTTACTTATGTATTCTTACTCTTTAGAAGTACATAATGCGCGTTAACGCTGTGGTTAGGGGGTGCCTGGCAACACAGACGCGGTTGCTGGTTCGATATCGCTCTCCGGATTAAGGAAAATCCTCCCCACTCTCCATCCCTTCGGATTGGTGAAGTTGTTCCTAGACTTCTTTAGGAGGATAGAAGTACAGAGATGATACATCGACAGCATCCGTACGTCATTCTACACCAAGTCAGATATCCGTTTAGTCATCTCTAAGATGCTACGAATGGAGTCGAATGCATGGCGCATCCCTCAGATGAATTTCGCTGAATAGGCACATTATTAAATACAGTAGTAAAATTCAAAACCGAAACAAAGGCATAAGTTATTTATTTTTTTTTGTAGATGATTGGTAAATGCTTGAGAAAAAAGTATTAACTTGCACAAACTAATAACGCAGAACATTCCAGAATGAATAGAACCAATTTAAATTACTATTGAGAATCCCGAAATCGCGCCGAGTAATATCTTACTAGAATCTGAAAATGGTGAGAAATTCAGAAGACATGAACTGTCACTGGTTATTTGTATCATCTGTGATCCTACTAGCCATCCAATAACTCGAGCTAGCAGTGGAGTTCTCACTCGCTTCCAGCATTGAGCTGCTCATTGGATTTCGCTCGCTCGAACGGCACGAAGGGCTTCATATTTCTGGCACAAGATCGTCTATTTTTATTGCCTTTTGCAAAAACGTACCCAGTGGTGGCTCACGATAGAGTTGAGTAATAGGTTTATTCTTAGCTGAGGTGTCGGAAACAGTTACCGAACTCCTCAGCTCGAGTGACTTTGCTGAAGAAAGGAAGCCTTTGACTGTACATCGTAGATCGACGCTTAGGAACAAGACACTGATTATGTTTGTCACGAATCTACTGCACGTCCAATGATCCTGTTCATCAACGAAGAATTCAAACTAATAGCAATAAAATCTCCACTAATCTCTGTGGAATTCCACAGCTGCCCAATGGATTCCAGTTGTTTGGACAATAGGAACAGCTTCACACTTTTGTTATTATGCCATTTGTTTTTATTGTTATTGGCAACAAAGTAGTCATAGAGAGTTCGTCGCACTTTGCTCGCGGGATCGGTTTGCATTTGGATGGCTTTCCGGATGGCAAATTCGAACTCTTTCACAGCTGTGAAAAACTTAATGAGGACATGAACGCCCAGTTGTCCATCATAGTTTGACCCAACCACAGTGTGCTGCAAACGAGCAAGATGATTGTAAAGTGTAGAAGTATAGATGAGAACGTTTTAGAATCAAAATCGCATTTATGAGGATAGAAATTCCTCGTAATTAGTCTTTAGTCTTCAAGCTTAAAGGAAGTATTATTAGAAACAATACAAAGAAATTAACGAAAATATGTTGTTCATTCAGAAACACAAAGAACATTTACATGTGCTATTGAAATCCGGATTCGAAATGGTTACTGACGTTAAACTTTGCTCTCTTTGTAGTTCCTTTCATGATCAGGTGAAATGAAAGTCGAAGCGTCTGGTGTTGAAGAATCTCTAAGGACCTTATTCGTAGCATCGTAGACTGGGCACGTATTTGGCCTATACAAGGACTTTTTTGAGCCTGTTGATACAACAAGTCACTGTTCTTCATCGTCCTAGACAATTTTTCGATCCCAGTGGAAGGGCGGATTTGCTCTGTTCGAAATGCGAGGTCGAACGAACAACCATGTGCGGTGTATTGCTGAGCAATTCTAACCAAATATATGTCTACAATCCACGTGTTTGCGGATTTCACATGTCATGGGTAGGAACAAATTGAGAAGCAATACCATCTCCTTTTCTCCTCCTATAGCTTATCATCCCATCTATCTGAATTCTCCAATATATATCCGGTTTCTAGAAACAACTATAAATCTTGGCCATTGATTCCTAAAAGCATATGGCAACAAACCAGCTGCGCTGGTTGAAAGCAGGCTAAGGCGTAGTTTTCGCTTTTAGTGAAAAATGTGTAGGAGAAGCAAAAAAAAAGTTAAGTTACAACGAATAGCATCAATATAGACGTACATTAAGCATCAGCGGAACGATATCGAAACCTATAGACATCACTTCCACAAACCTTCAGTGTGTACGTATGAATGTGGGTTTTGGTGTATGTGTATGATTGTTTGTGTGTGTGTTTGTCCATGCATATACATATATATATACATGTATATACATGTCCATGTATATACATGTCCATGTATATACATATATACATATATATTCACACGTATATATACGTATATATCCATGTATATGTATACATATGTATATGCGAATGTCTGTCTATGTGTATGCGCATAGATATGCGATTTGGTATATGTGTATGTCTATATATGTATACATATATATATCCGTGTTTGTGTGCAAGGACATGTGTAGCGCAGTGGTTAAAGACGCACTGCAATACACATGGGATCGAACCCGCGCCTAAGGCTCGCCAAGCTTTCCATCCACCGGGACCGGTAAATTGGTACCAGACCTGTGTCGGAGTATAGGAGCACTGACTCAATAGATCCGTAGGCCACCGCGAGTCAAGGCCGGATATTCATTCTGTCACCTTAACGATGCTTAATGGAGTCGAATGTCGAGAGCTTCGTGATTTTTCTATACATCTGTATTGTGTTTGTGGGTATCGATGTCGGTGTTTCAATGTGTGCATATGTGTAGATGTTCGCATATATGTGTGTATGCGTGTGTGTGCATGTCTGTATAGATGTATGCGTGTGTGTGCGTGTGTCTTTATATGGTTTTATCAACTGCGAGAGATGGACACGGTGGTTCTGATGACAATAACTCCATCCCCGCGCCAGCTCCACCCACTATCGGGAAACATTATTTGTTCAAAAATCGTTACCGTGTAGTGTCAACTGAACAACCATCGACTACGGATTTCCCAAACCATTCATGACCATCCGATCCACATCATTACTAATTTCCGAGGTGAAAGTCTTAGAACTGACAATATCGTATTATTTATATCATTTTAGAGAATTTATGTGAAGCTCCCGGACATACTTGTTAAAGTTCTGGTTTTGTCGTGCGTAACCTCTATAGAAAAAATGCTGTTCTGAACTGTATTATAGGAGAAGTATATCGATTTTTTTAAAGTTATTTCTCTTTTCTTTCAATTTATTCTATTTTAATTTTTTAAATTCGATTTGCAAAGACTCGACTGAAATTTTTTGTGAGGAATCAATAAATGGGAAGTCTGTGATCTACATAAAGTAATCGATAAGTAGCCAAAATTCGACAAGGTGAATCTGATCGGTGGAAAGCTTGAAACACGTGATTGTTCAAGGATTATCGATTTCCTGTGGTACCAGAAATTAATCAATTTGTGGACTGAGTAAATCGGGTTAGCCATCAGTTAGCAATTTCTATCGGGACTTTGGTTGGGAAAAGAAGAAGACGACGAAAACTCTTCATCATAATTTTTTTTGCGACCTGGGAAAACCACCAACGCGTGCATTTTCTCTTTTCCCTGAATTTCACAGTTATTTTCAATAAAACATCTTCAGCTAGGACTTTGTGCACAGATTTCCGTCTACCACTATTACCGAATGTTGGTTTTTCTTTTTGTAAAATTTTTCGCCAACATTACAAATAGTTTAACTTTCTCTTTTTTCCGGAAAAATCAATAAAGCCTCTTTCTTTACTGGCCAAATTATGTGCTTGCAATACTTTCATTAACAAAAGAGGTTTTCTTAGGAGAATTTTATGTTTAATGAGGTTTCAAACTAGAAGTGCTAACATCCATAACGATTGAAATATCCGATACCGAAAAGTCGAATCGATTTGAATATTCGACTCGTTTAGGATGAGGAGACAGCGCTACATTGTGCAGCTGCACGTGGTCATATTGAGTGCGTACAGAATCTTCTGGATGCCGGTTCATCCGTCGACGAATTTGATAAGGTATTTGTTTCCCGTTAGCAATAAGCTATCGAGTATTCGATTTCGAGTATTCGTATTCGAATTTCGAATGAGAAACTCTATGCTGTAGAGATTTTCGGATCTTCTAAATTCGAGTGTATTGTATTTGAAGGATTGAGCATACCACATATTTCACTTATTCACTCATCTAAGTACTCTGTAGTGTTCTAAACTGATTAGTCGCCTTCGACAAAAGAAAGTTTCGAGTTTAAGGAACAAATTCGAATAGTCGATTCGAAAACTTTTCAGCATCATCGAACTGCCTTGATTTGTGCGCTGGAGAATGGTCATCTTGACATCGCGCTTCTTCTCATCCATAAAGGCAGCAAGATAAATGAAGCCAATGATGTACGTATAGATTGTATCCGACTCTTCAAAGAAATAACTAGATAGAGAAAAAATAAAAAGAATGAAAATAGTCGCTCAGTTGACATTAGAATGAACCCGTAGGAGTTTCTTCTCTTACAAATTACACAATTATAAATTAAAGCTGTTAGGCAAAATGTCACTCTTTGTAACTTCTTAGAAACATCGCTATTTCAACTTAGATAGTAACCTACCAATAGTATAATAAGTGGTAGTGATAAATAATGAGCCACACCTAGCATAATAGGTGGTTAGAGCTGGCAACACACACGCACACACAGGGGGTGTTCGGTTCAATTCCTCACTTTACCGAAGGCCCTCATCCCCCCGTGCTCAGCAAAATGGAATCAGATTTGTCTGGAGAAGAAAGGAAACCTCACCCGATATATCGACAGGTCACAGCTGTGGGCCAAACATGCATCTGATCCCATCTGCAATGCTACGAATGGAGTCGAATGCAAAGCGCATCTCAAAAAAATTAATCAACATTGACCAAATTCTATACTAAATTTTACAACAAACAATACATTATGAACTAACCTTGCTTAAGTTTAAAATCTAAATCTATAGTCAGTTTTAGCAAGGTAATTCACCGTTGCATATCGCTGCTCATCATGGTTTACTTAGTGCCGTTCAAACACTTTGCCATTGTGGTGCTGACGTCGATCAAACAAATCAGGTATGGATCACTTTACGTGTGCATTGGTTCCTTGTGTATTGTTTTAAAATGTTATTAGAAAGCGTTCTGGAAAACGGGGACTAACGAAATTTGTTTCTTAAAAAACAAAAGAAGTAGTTATTCAGAAGTTTGGTTCAAAAGTAGCAAACAAAACATCGTATGATTCTGTTCAGGACTCATTCACAGCACTTCATTTGGCTGCAAAAGAAGGTTTCCTTGACATCGTAAGGGTTTTGTGCTTGGCTCGTTCCAATGTCGCCAAAAAGACAAAGGTGCATCAGTTTTTCAATTAATTTTAACAACAATCGTCATTAATTAATAGCTTCTGTATCGATCAACAAAGAGGAAATCGATGTCCTTGAGCAGTTCAAAGAGCGATTTTATTTTTTTCTATTTCCTTTAAGGACGGTCTCACTGCTGAAATTCTTGCATTGGCTTCAGAGCACACACACGTTGCGTCATTACTCGCGAAAATGAAATCGGTAAGCGTTTGGGAATAATAATTATTAATGGCACTGATCGATGGAACCAACTCAGAGACAGGCGAAACGAATAACACGTATGGTGTGGTGGTGAACGGGTTAGCTCCCGGAAAGAGTAATAGCGCGTTCGTTCCCCACCGCAGACATCTGCTGTCCAGAGTTTTGCAAATATCTCAGCATCATTGTTGTTGTATTTCACATTATATCCTACCGTGAAAAATTACAGCAGGTAGCAAATAGAAAGTTAGCATTGTAAGAACTATTAAATTTGTAGAAAATTAAGTAAGTGGGAAAAATCGGCTCTTGCAGTGTTTATAAACCTATAAAAGGCGCGTTGTATAAGAACGAGTCGTTAAAACAAATAATAGCTGCCAAGTAATCAAATAGTTCAAGTAGCCTGTTAGTCATGACACTAGACTGGTGTGCTTTATGAATTTTGACTCTTTACTGAAACTTTCTTCCAACGTATTCTCGTTTTTTACGGTTTAGTATGAGATTTTCCCACACAGGTACTCTCTCCCAGGAATCGGCAAGGCAGATAGGAGTAGCGTTGCTACTGTGTTGGGATTAAATCGATGATAAGCTGCTAGAAGCTAGTTTGCATGATCGTGTCTAACTTACGAAGCCTTTACTGTGACATTTTTTCATTTAAGAATACCCCTTCATCACATTGCAAAAGCAACCATAATTTATGTGAACATAACGAGAAAAATTCTTTAACCGCAGTGATGCTAAGATATTTGTAAAACCCTGAAACGCAGATGTCTATGGTAGGGATCAAAAACGCTATTACCCTTTCCGAGGGCTCACGTGTTCACCACCACACCATGTTGCTGGTCCGTCGTTTCTCTTTTCCCCCCAACCGTATTTTGTTGTTCATATTCGATCCCCACTGCGGACACCTGCAGCCCAAAGTTTTGCAAATATCTATATATCGCAGCATCATTGTGGTTATATCTCACATTATACCTTGCCGTAGGAAAAGACTGGGTAGTAACTATAAAGTGACTAAAAATTCTTTATTTTATTTTTTCTATTTTTAAATTTTTCTCAAATGACCCTTTTCCTTCTAAAGAAAAAGTTAACAAATGTCTTTAGAAAAAACCGCGAAAGAATTCTTGAGATTTCACAATAAGACGAAGTTTCTGGATTATTCCAATACGTCCATGTTTCATAAGTAATTGAGGACTTTTCCTACTATAAAATCACAGTAGCGATTTTTTTTATGATTTTTACTTTGCTAGCTTGTAAATCAGTGACTAATCGACAAACACAGGACAACGTCCGGGAGACGTTCATCGATCAGTTGTGTCCGTTGAATGCGCCGTTGCGACGCATAAAACTGAAGCTGTTCGGACATTCCCAAACGGGGAAGTCACGTCTCATTCAATCACTTCATTCTACTCGTGGAATCACATCAAGCATAATCGGTACACTTATTTTGTTTACTTCCCGCCTGAAATTTCTGACATATCTATGTGGGACGGCTAACTCCCACATATGTTTAATTGGTTGGACAATAAAAATACAGTCAGTAGAAAAAACAGCGTTAGTGATGATTAGTAGTGGTAATACCAGTAATAGTAGCAGCAATATTAATTAACTATCACTAGTAACCCCGTTCGTCCCAACGTTGTACCGCCTCATCGTGGTTAGGTGTTGCTGTATGTCGGGCTGCGATGTACAGCGGGGGGATCCATCATCCCAACAGGGTCTCCCAAGCTCAAGAGTGCGGCATCACCATCAGGAAACCCAGCTAAGAGTAAGCCAATACCAAGATCCACCACCGTCCTAGTATAAAAGTCGCATGGTGGCAAATCTCCCTCTGATTCACAATGGCGGTGACTACCTGTGGTAGTAACGACCTGCGGCAAATTTTGGCCTAGCTGATTTGGAAACTCCAAGCACCATGGCTAGATCAGCAAAATTCGGAAAAAATGAAAATTATGCTGGTGACCACACAACCGGTGAGGACGGGTCATCGAAGTGCCCAAGTAAGTAAGTAACCTCGTTAATCAATGTGTAGCTCAAACGATTACTGGTAGACTCCATTTGTCCTCGTCGCAGACCAGAGTCATACAGAGGACGCTAGATGCTTCACAGTTTTGGTTTGATGACTATTTCTGAATTGTTTTTGCGAGAGATGTTACCCACAAGAAGATCATAAGCTCTTGCCATTGCATAGATCACCAGGTTCTGCCATGGCATAGGTTCACTGAGTTTCCTGGTGGTAATGTCGAACTGCTCGTCTTGGGAGACCCTATTGGGGGATGCACCCTCTGCACACTGCAGTTCGACACTTAGGAATACGCGCCATCAATTCCATTAAATAATGATAATGATGGTAACAATAATAGTAGTAATAAAAATTTTTATACGACCCATCTTTCATATCTCTTGTGCGGATCCCAATACTTCCCATACTCGATTCGTTTCCCTTGCATCCACTATCCACAGAGCTCTTCCAAATTTTACGTATGGCTTGGGCTGCTGTTTGAGAATTTCCCTTTCATCACGAATGTCGCTGAATGCTGGTCGATAAGTAGCCTAACCGGCCGCAAAGTTCTGAGATAAATAGGTTAGAACGTTTCCTATTGGACTCCAGGAAGTGGTTTTTTCCGGATAGCTTCGGTACCAATTTCCTGACCCTGGAGGGATGAGAGGACTGGTGAGCCCGGGGCGGGATCGAACCGGCATCGTGCTCGTGACGATCGGCATTGCTACCACTGTGCAATGCGCCTTCTAATAATAAATTAACCTTGTCTTGAGATTTTTAATCTTCCTTGTCTAATTGTTTATTCATCTATATGTCCCGGTTTCACATATTGTGCATGTACTAGCGTGTGTTGTCTCGCAGCAGTCATCTACAAAGGTTTTGGATTTGAGTGTAGATTTGAGTGCTGCTTGAGATTTTTAATCTTCCTTTGAGCCTTGTTGGATGCTAGTCGAGTCCATAAGTTCTGCTAGGAAATTCGCAGGTTTTCTCCACAGCGGCTCCTTAATTGTATGGATCGGAGAGACTTTTCCTAGCCACGTTTGGTGCAAGTCCACCAACATCAGTGGGATGGGAGGCATCGTTGCCCAAAGCATGGTTTAAGCACGCCATGCGTGTGTTGGGTGACATTTTTAATCACTCTGCTACCAAAACCCTCACAATTACAATTAATAATAACGGTGAAGACATTGTCAAGATCTTACTAACGCAAGAGCGACCGAAAACGATGGGCAGACAGAAATCATTTTTTCTCTTAGGTTTCCTTCTTTTTCAGACGCCGTTTCGAGACGGATTTCCGAACATTACAGCCCCAGCAATACGATGAATAAAGGTAAGATTTATTTCTAGTCTTTAAAATAAAAATAGGCGAGGTCGACCATTATAAGGTTATTTTTACATTGAAATGGCAAGTGAATAACTCAACAAAGAAAACTGCAAGCATTTCGAACCTTACATTCTTACCGCTCTTCTTTTTTCGTTACAAGAGTATCGTGGAAAATTATTCGGAAAATTTTCTCTAGAAGGCGATTTCTCAATAAATTTTACCTTCCTGTCTTAAATTTTTCGATTTGTTTTTGTTTTCAATCGTATATCATTAACGGCGTGTAATGTGAATATTGGGACTTTAACAGGAAGTGCTAAGACGTTCAGAACAATATGAATTGACTTCAACTCGTGATGCCAACACGCTTCACCTTGTAGCAAACTTCACTGATTTAATTAAAAACCACTAAAACTTAATAACCCTTGCCAATAACATTCTAATCCATTTAGTTCCTTAATTGTTAAAGTGGTTTAGTAGTCGAAAAATTATCGGTAGTTGTCGAAAAACCAGCATCGTCGCGATTGTCATAAAAATTAAAGTGTAACAAAGGAGAAACAGAAGGCAAAAATAAGCGTAGTGATCGTAGATGATGGAATTCACTCTGGACAAGGTTCATCGTTCTCATCAGAATCGAACAACAACTCGTCCGAACCGTGCGTACAAGCTGTTCAGTGTCCCGCCCACTCGGCTTACACCCGAGGTATCGACGTTCAGAACATCACCACATCTGGTAAGCGGTAGTCCTTGTAGAAAGAGGAGAATTAATTTTAAAAAAAGATTGAAAATGAAGCATCGAAATCGAACGATAAAAACGATTTGAGTCGAATTCTCGTTTTCATCACTAATTTTGGAGCAGTAAAAAGAGGACGAGTTTTTTCAGAGGAGAGAGAACTGTCAAACAAAAGAGGTTTAAAAGAGCATAAGCGAGCAAAACTAATTTTATATCTATATAGACTTGAATAAGTAGTTTTATTTACATTGAATAAAACTTAACGAAGAAAGGACAAAAAAATAAGACTCAAATACGATATCTAATTGAGGTTGTGGTGAGTTTTCCGTGTGGGAGTTCGGTGGCTACGAACCCTATCATATGGCTTACGACCATTTCGTCGGCAACACTGACTGTATTCATGTGATACTGTTTCAAGCCTGTGACAGTACTGAGGAGCAGTACAAACAAGTATTGTATTGGATGAACTTTCTCAAAGGACGGGTTACACCGACAGAGCCAATTGGTAGGTGTTTTTGTCAGTGATCTATGCAATTTTTCTCAAAGAATGACTCTTCGCTGTTCCCTGAACTCTAACCATAACTTTTAACACGCATTAGAACGTTTTTTAGTTTCATGTTTGTTAAGCTTGGGCATCGAATTGTTACATTCATTCAGGTCACTGTGGAATAATTTCTCGAAGATCTAAAGTAGTAATCGCAGGTACGCATGCCACTTCCGCACTCTTCCCGACGAAAAATGCTGACGGTAAGTAGGCCAAATTTTCATCTTAGATAGGTAAACTTCTTAAAAACTTCATCGCAAATCAAATTCTAGGTAGCAACGACAACAAAACGTAAAGAACAGCACAAGTTTATGCAGTTCCATGAGCTTAGAAGGAGCATAACGTGATCACACCTGTCAGTTACTCTCTCTTTGATCGCTGAGTGGCTAGAACAGGCGCCAGCAAAGTATCCCTGTAGTGTTATACCTTTTTGCTTTCTGCCTACTATAATTTCGCGGCAGGGTACTAAACGAAGTACAACCGATTGCTGTGTCAAATATCGATAGAAATAGCTGAGAGATAGGCGAAACGAAGGACCCGTATGGCGTGGTAGTGAACGCGTTACTCCCCGGAAAGGACAATAGCGCGTTCGTTCCCCACCGTAGACACCTGCGGTCCAGAGTTTTGCAAATATCTCAGCAACGTTGTGGTTGTATCCTTGTAGTGTCCCTATATCCCAAAGTATGAAAAGCCAACCTTATCGGTTTTGCTTATTTGAGAGATTTGCTGAGTTTTTGAGAGAACTGCTTGAATAATTCTGACCACTGGGTTGGTGGTCTTCTTGCTATGCCTCTGACAATCTATGAGACACTGTCGCTGACAATTCTTGTCTGTCCGCTATGGTTACAAGGCACCATGTATCTGCGTACCCCATTTTTAGCATTTTGGCGTATACGCCAACGCCTTTGAGCTTTGGTCGTTCAAGGAGGTTTGAACTTCAGATCTCTTCCTGCTTTTGCCTGTGTGGTTTCTTTCAGCCTACTTTCGGAGCTGTGTCTTATTATATTAGATGCTTAATTCAGACACAAAGCTGAAGCATTCGGAGACGTTCGATGTGCTTCAATTGTGAAATAGAAGATAATCCGGTTCTCATACATTCTTGAGATTCAAAAAAAATCGAAGGTTTTAGAACTGCCTGTCGAAATTGACCAGCATTTTCTTAGACGGCTAAGCTAAACGAGGTTGTTATAAACAAATTTATTCAGCTAACGTTTCGACCCCACTATCTTCTCCAGAGTCGTGTTGATCCGCATTCATGGTCCACATCTGGTCGTTGTCGCCATGTGGACCTTTATCGTCGAATCGAGTCAAGTCTTCTAGAATGCACTACCTACGTTATGAGAACGACCCTAGTGTGGAAAATGGACTCGGCGGATCAATGCAACTCTAAAAGAAGCAGTGGCGCCGAAACATTAATCGAATAAAAGTTTTATAACGACCTTATGTTAGCTCAATGATCTGGAAAGATTTCGACTAGTCATGCTAAGGTTAGGAAAAATTGGTTTTTAAAATGTTGACCGTCACTGTATAATTGGCAGATATCATTATTCACTTCCATGCTATAGCACTCTAAGTTCCGCATGATGTTCTTGAGAATGTGAATGTGGTCATCTTACTTATTAAATGGGGAAAAAACTAGGACAAGGATCAGCTTGAAACTAAAGATATCTTATAACTGGGAAAACAAATTCAGCAAACCATTATCAAGCAGACAAAATAGGGTGAAGCATCAACGAATTGCCTATTTCAGGAGAATACGAGTCGTCAGACACAGAAGCAATGTTAAAGACGGTACGACTTCGTTTCGAGACGCACTTCGATATTTACGATAAACTCATCCTACTTGACTCCACAAATCCGTCGTGTGCCGGAATGAAGGCGTTGAAGTGCTATTTGAAGGAAACTAGAAATACAATCATAGCGGTTAGTTGCTTCATTTTGTTCTTTTTTGTTCTACTTGCAAATCTTTGAAACCAACAGTGACAGTAACTACTGATTTTGTTAGTCGTATATTAATAGTGGGAATGGAGAGTGAACGGAGGAAAAGTGAATGATCGAATAGCCGAACAATCGAGGAAATGAATTATTAAAAAGAAGATAGTGAAATTGGTCTGACTCGTCAAATTTCTTTACTCTGTGTGCTTTCCACTGATAAAACTTAGAACATTCTGTCGTAGCTGTGGTAGGATTTGAAAATGAAATATGGAAAAAAGTTACAGTAGTATGCATAAAGCTAAAAACGATAAAGCTCTCGGCGTTGATCAATCCCTGAAGGATGCGCCATGCATTCTACCTCATTAAGTATCGTTTGGAGGTGATTGAATGCATATCTGGCCATTACAATGACACGCGATGGCCTACTGATGTATCGAGCCAGTGTTGGTATCCGCTCTGGCGAGTCTGGTACCAATTTACCGACCCCGGTGGGATGGAAGGCTTGGTGAGTCACCGGCACAGGGGTCGATCCTACTTGTGTGTCGCAGGGCAACCACGACCTGCTCCACAAGCGCCCCTGACAGTATGCATGGTGAAGAAAAACCACTGCGCTATGAATTTCATAGAAATCTATACAAAGCTATACAAATATTTTTATCAGTAACGACAACAAAATTATGCTCTGCTTTACGTAACAACAAGGTTTTTAATCTAGAGAACAGTTATTTTAACGTCTTGGAATTTCAGCGTCTACAGAAACCTATCGGACTTCTAGATGCAACGATGCCATTCCTACAATCGATGCGTAAGCAGTACGCCAATTTTCCAGTAGTTTCATGGCCAACATTCGCCTCAATAGTACGTACCGATGTGAATCCGTTGACTGGAGAAGCACATTGTCGTCAATTGATACAACAGCTGCAGCTTATCGGAGAGGTATGCACGACAATGTTCACTCTGGAATCCGAATGGTCGTATTTAAAGTTCTTCGTTCTTTTTCTTTGAATAGTTTTAGTAGTTTTCCAGGAATATTGAGTGATTATAGGTAGTGTATCTGCGTGATGAAACAGCTGAGATGGATTATGTTGTGTTGAATCCAGAATGGCTTGGAACGCATATTATCGGTCAGCTGCTTAGCGCTGAGTTCCTTTCCAGGTGCAGGTAAGTCGCGCTTGGAAACAGTCTTCTTTGTTACGAGCTTTTGTGTTTTTTCTTGAGTTAATAACTCATAGTCTCCCATCAGCTATGGATGGGATGCAATAAGACAGCTGTGATGAAAGTTTCTTGAGTTAAACAGTCGAGAGTGAAAGTAAGATAACGTTCGGAGTGCTTTTTATGTGCCTTCTCTTTTATACTAGTTATTTATTCATTGTATTATCTTCTAATCGAGGAGTATATAATAATCGGAGGAAATGTTAGGCAGAGTAGCATAGTTGGGGAACTTTTCAGTAAATGGAAATATTTCTAAAGAAGGAATTCGTTGACAGTTACTCGGTGTCACTAAAGCCTTAACTCTGGGTTGTCAATTAATGCCGAACATAGATCCAAAGCTCTTCTGTTAATCACAGACGTCGTTGAAGCTTCTGTCTTTTGCACATTTTCTCTGCACTGGAATTTGGTGCTCTATGAATAACAGTGGTATACAATATAGTAGTCAGTATAGCACCGTCGAACTCTTTTCGCAGTCATATTTCAGAACAAAAGTGCAAGATTGAAGCAGGACTAGAGGGAATAAAGAAAGAATGGTGCAACTGGTATCAAAGTTTGACTGTTATAAATTGAGAAACTATAGCATCATTGCAGGATCAACGGCACATACTCACTGGAACACTTTGCGCCGATCTTCCCGGAAATTCCTGAACTAAGTGATCTACTGCGAATGCTGAATGTACTTCAGCTGTGCGCTCCAGCCGAGCCGGATTCAGAAGAAACATTTGAATTTCCTGCTTTTATACTCCTTAGCGAACCATCTGATGTTTGGATCCGCAACAAGTCGACGTATGTTTACGGAGGTGAGCGATCGATTTCTTCTTCCATCTAAAAAGTACTACAATATCAAGTCTGATGATCACCCTTGTACTCTCAATTCCTGGAGGTAACAACTTAGCATCATAGTGATTCAACGCAGTTAACGGCTTAACTATTCATATGGTATTATTTCTAAGGATTGTTCTCGAAATGTTGAATATCCACCATTTCCAACCTCCTATTCCTGTTTGAATAACATCAGGTAGAGTTTACATGCTGAGTGATGTACTAACAAAAAGAAATTACTATGTACTTTCCAGCGAGACGTTGAACTTTCAGGTTTTCTTTTACTTGCTTTGACATTCAGAGAAATATTGACAAGAAGACCTGTGAGCTCTAACCCAACGTTCATTCGACCGCTGTTTAGCAGGGTGGCCAAAACTTTCCCCCATGAAGCTCTTAGAGAGCTCTGCTAAACGGTTCCCAGGTCCTCAGTAGAAGTATTCATGGTCTGAGCTAATCGTAAGGAACGTTGCCGTGTCCTACGATTAGCTTTTGCGGCAGACTTTCCTTCTATAAAGCCAGTTGGTGGCCATTTGTTACTGGACTATCGAAAGTCCCTTATTGAAAAAGTGTTCATCAAATCGTCCTAATATTTTTTCTCAGAAGATTTTTGCCTAGAAAACTGCTTTCGAAATAACATACCCTGAACCTGGACATCAGCGAGTAATTAGGAATCACTTGGCGTATGGTGAAGTGTTTATAAAAGTTTATATTTGTAAGGTTCGGAAAAAACGGTCAAAGAGGTGTGGAAGAGAAAACTAATGAAGCTATACAAAAGTTATGCAAGTGGATTTTGCAGGAGTTCGCGTATATCCAATGCGAGGCATGGAGCGATCTCTCCAGAGTACTTTTCCGCGTATTCAAGTTGCACTACGGAGAAGCATGCACGACTTCCAGGTAAGGAATGATCGTCGAGATTGGTCACCATCGTCGAATTCAATATTGATGCAAGGCTTCGGAGAGCCACTTTGCTACTTTTAGGATCCGATGGATGCGGATTTAATCCAGTGGGCTGGATGTAGTAAAATGTCTTCTGGTCAAATGGAAGCTCTGGTGAGAATCCGTAACGATGCTGTCGAGGTGAGTATGGCTGCTATGAGAAAACTGCGATAATGATAAGTTTTAAGGTAAACCCCCCAACCGCTGCATCCGTGGTTGAGAGGTGTCCCTCAGTGTGCGGCGCAATCTGCGGGAGAGATTCATTTCCTAGGAGAGCTTCCTAGGTTAAGTTCGATGTTTCCGTCCACAAACCCAGTTCAGATTAAACCAATACCAATGCCAGTAATCACCACCGTATTAGTATCAAATTGCTCGCATGGCGGCAAATCTTCCTCTGATCCACAAAGGCAGCGACTGCCTGTGGTGGTGACGACCTGAGAAAGACTTCGTCTAGTCTAACCTCGGGACGTCGGAGAGCCACAATGGCTAAACTAGCAAATCTCCAGAGAATGGAAATTATGCTAGGCCTCGCCCAACCAGTGAAGACGGGCCATCCATAAATCCACGTTTATGGAAAAGATCGGTGGTTCATTTGCCATTCTCTTATAATGCTTTGTTGGAGAAATTAATACGTTGGAAATAATTTCAGATGTAATCATCTTTCTATCTTCCCCTTATTTTAAAGGTCCAAGTCCGTGGTCCATCCGAACGAGCCACATCATGTTTTTACTTCTTGGAAGACGTTGTGAATCTAGTCGAACAAACCGCTAGTGAAGTGGCACCAGGCATTGGACTTGAGCGACATTTCCTTAGTCCAAAATGTTTACAAGTACGGTATCAGCCTCTAACACTTGGAGCATAACTTTTTTATTATGTCATCTATATTTTATTTCATCTACACTCCGATATTATCCATACCTACATTTTTTATTTTTTCACTCACTTTTACTGAATGATCAAAAAACTTGCAGTGTTTTTCATGTGGTTGGGTGTAATGGCCAACTATTAAATGAACATTGAACAACTGTGGTGATGATTTAGGAACATCACAAAAATCCAGCCTCGTTTCCACCCGAGGCAATGATGGCTATGCAACAGCAAGAATCGCTTTCTGTAAAAGGAACACACGATGAGGAAGAACTCTTCACTGGTGATTTATTTTAAGACATATTTTTGTTTTCGTTCTCTTTCTATTCCATTTCAATTCATTTCTATCAGAGGCAAAAGGCGCTATAAGACACTTCTTAAAGGTGCACTGCAATACACATGTTTTCTTTGGTTCGATTTCACCACATTCCAAGCTAACAAAGTCCTCCATCTTTCCTAGGTCATCAAACTGCCACCAGACTAGTCTGCCAGGATAAAAACGCTAAATTGATTCGCTTATAAACTTTCGTGGATCACTTTATGGGTTAAATACGCACTCAATCTTATCTGCGATTCTACGAATGGAGTCAGATGCATGGCGCGTCTCTCAAGCGTTGACCAAAGGCGAAGGCTTTACCCTTACCTCGCGATTATTCGCATGCGCGTTCGAAAACAAGCAATAAAATAAATCGATTTGACAGAAAATATAGTTTGGAGGCATTGCTCTTGTTTGTTCTTTTGTCTTCCAAGAAATGTAGTTTGGACTTCCATTTCAAAGATTTCAGGTGTTAGCGAATGCAATAGTTTAAAGATAAAAAAAATCAATGGCACAAACTCTCAGAATGTTGACAAAGAATTCTCAAAAATTTTCTAACAAATAATGCCGCTTATAGATGTGGTGTGCTTCGGTTCTCGGGAGGTTGCACGTCTTCTGACGTTAGGAATTGATGTGGGAGTGGCCGACTTATCCATCACTACTCGTTGTGAACTCGCTGCATTGCTCGATCCGCCCGACGGAATGGGCAGGGACTGGTCAATACTGGCAGTCAAGTTGAGTTTGACTGACCAAGTACCAGAGGTAGGTGTATTTTTCAAAATAATTAGATTTACTGGTAAACCAAAGAAAGACTAGTTCACTGCTCACACCGTTCCGGACAGTAACTCTCACTTTCCAGGTTGATTCCACCGGACAGTCTTTGTCCCGAACCGATCAGCTACTAGCTGAATGGGCAATTCAGCAACCGGAGCATGCCACTGTTGGTCGTCTATGCGAAATTCTGGCTGAGCTAGGACGATCAGATGCTAGGGACACGCTCTACCGCACCGTCCCATTATATCTGTTCGCACCGCTAGAGGACACGGTACATCCAACTGATTGCGGCGATTCGGGTGTAGTATCATCTTGTCACTCCACTGGTAACCCAAGAACAAGCTCCATATCATGATAAAGGCCTGTGCGCTAGGAACGCTAAATTACGGGTCGATATCGTCGCTTATTTTTCTTTATTTTCTTTAGATGATCAGTCTTTCTTGATTCCCAAATATAGTTGTGCTAACATCCAAAGATGTTACATTTGTGTGTCTTATCAAAGCATCTAGAAAAGCGAAAATAATCATCCAAAGTTAATAGCTCTGTGATATCTATGGGGGGACCGATCCTTGTTTGTAGTAGGTTTCGGACGTATGAATTGCTTGTTCACAACTATCGTTCCGTAGCGGGTTGTTGTATAATTTTCAACGAATTACATTATTGCTTTGTAACCACTAATTAGTTATCGCTTTTTGTGATAGGCCGAATGGTTAAAAGGATTTAAGCATCATTTCCATCACTACTACCAAATTAACTAGTACGTGTGACGATGATTATGTGATACCAAATGAACCCAGTCATACTTTATTGTTAGCAGAGTATAAAGCACTGTATGTACATTCGGTTATATGTTAAATATATCAGAACCAACTCTAACAATTCATGTTGGTTTCTTATTTAATAAAAAATTTATCACATTTGTACAACGTGCACTTAATCTTCTTCGGAAAGGAAATGAGGAACTTGACCGATAATCTTATCAGTAAGAGGTATCTTTGATGGCTCATCAACAAAATCTTCTTCGGTTGAGGTCACATGGAGAGGAGAATGTAGTAGGTCATCAATAGATTTTGAACTACGTCTATTATAGTCAGTGATAATCCGTTGTAAGGCACGAAACCTTTTCATCTAAACCTTCAACCATTGGAAGTGACCCTCGTCCGCATTTGGAGAGCTCCCTTTTTTGGATGTGCTCGAATAAACGTTTGGGACAAAAACAGTAAAAAAATAAACAAAATAATTGGAAATACCACAATTAAAACAACAGACCTGTTTTTGAGTGTCCGTCCGTTCTTTTATGGCATAACAAAGTTTGTCAAGCTAAAATATAAAGTATAAACTTAACGAATATTTTCGCTGGCGATAGTAAGAACTATAAACGTGTAGCGAATGTCGCAGCAATGTATATGCAATGTGGGTACCTTAAGTCATCAATGGAAATCATGTTTTCCTAACCCTGTTTCAGCCCGGTGAAGCCCCTATATGAAGACAGCATAATCTCACCGCCTCATTGCTAACACAGTTGTTTTCCGAATTGAAAATAACGTCTTCCTCATGAAGGCACTTCTCTAATTCGTCCAGAGCATCATCAAGACGTCCTAAAAGTCTGAAATGTTTCACACAGGTAAAGGCCTTGTGTTATGAACGTTCACCATCTACACCTTCGGTAGTAAGAACTCTTATGACCAAGCTGCGCCGAATAACTGGAGGAGACATAGTGACATAGGAGAGCATCTGATGTGCTTCTTTCACCTTACCCTGCAAGAATTTCATCGGATATTTCCTGGCGTAATTCCATTTCCCGAAAGCTTTCTAGTTCAAGTATAAGATTAGAACAAAGATCATCTAATTCTTTGCGTTCAGCACTGAAGACCAATTGGTTCCAAGTGCTTCCTTTAAAACAGGCAGTAGTTAAACCAGTTGCACCTGTCAACTAATTCTTTGACAAGAAGAAATTACTACCTATCTTTTCAATTCTACATTTTTTTCTCCCCTTAACAAAGATGCACGTTTTCTGACCGAAATTCCTTCTATTAAACGCAATTGACTAACGTTTCGGTGCATTCACCTTCCTCGGAAATTTACCAAGGAAAGAAAACACGTTGACTAGTCATACCGAAATTAAGATAAAGTCAGTTTTCTAAACACCGTTATGCTCTGTGTTAGCTGATAACGATACTGGCTACTGCATAATGAATTATCCGGAAAACGAACAATTATCTACGGACAATCACTATCAACATCAGCCGTCCTGTATGAAATAGCACTACCGAGTGAGGATATTTCATTCGAGAGATGCACCACCGGACTCGACACGATGCGATAACGAAGACCCATACAGGAAGAAACAATTGTAGAGATTATTAACAACCTCGTGATTATCCTCGATTATCGAGGTTGTAGATTATCAACCTCGTGTAAGCTCATCAAAGAAGGAACACATATTGATTAGTGATACCGAGGTTCAAGGAAAGTCGGTTTCGAAACAATTGTAGAGAATTGACTTGGATCGATTCGGCTCAGAGGAAAGCGAAGGTGTCAAAACTCCAGCCGAATAGGGTTTTTTGTCAACCCCATGTCAGCTTATCCATAGAAAAATACACATTCATTAGTCACGCTGAGGTTAAAGTGAAGTCGCTTTTTGAAATTTCGGCAAGCTCCAGAAAATCAGAATTCGATGGCTGTAAGATAAAAGAGCTTCTATCCTATAGCCAAAGGTTTTAGATCCCAATACTTTGCACTGCAATTAATAAAGTTCATTTTGAGCTAAAATATGTTGGCCTAAACGTGGAAGTTATCCTCGCACCTTTTGGGTGGAAACCAACCGTTCTTCACCAAAATAACGCTGTTAAAAACTAAGAATACAGCAATCTTCCAGTACTACACCAGAGTGCAACCAATTATTACTGAACATGCATTCATCGTGTAAACGTACAAGCTTCAGTGCTAATGCGGCTGCAAAGGCGGCTGACCTGCTCGTGACTTCGCTCACATTCTTTTGCTTTGTAATGATCTTCATCAGCTTTCGAAAACCTCTTCGTTTTCCCTAAAATCCATACCAAAAACTATCAATCATTGCTGGCGAACATCAGCAACATTTACCTCCTTATAAAAAGCAGCTGCCAACTCGCACTCTCTGCTTTGCTCTTTAGAACTCCTTTGAAGTTTCCCGCTCACTTTCACTACCACATTCTTCCCAGTTGAAACTACAGACGAGCTCTCCGTCCTCGTCCCAATCAACAATAACCGGCCACATTGTAACATTCGAACACTATACTATACTATCATCGAACATGTTCACATATGGTTTACAAAATTGATGAAAGGAATGATTATGGGTCAAGCAGTTTCGTAGTCAGAAAAAAGGACTTGTAACAAATATTTATTGAATAAATTGTGTAAACAACAAGCAGATTTAATATTCTCCGCGAGCCAACTGGCGCCTCTGTTTCCTTTTTGATTCCTTTTTGGTTCTTGGAATATCATCTGAAGGCTTTGAAACAACGTCTTCCTTCTCAGTGAGAATCACCTCGATGTGACATGGCGAAGACATGTAAGCTAAAAACGTCAAATTGCCATAAAGCATACAACTGATGTCATCTCCTATTGCTAGTTCTACATTTAACCACATATTTTCACATTAAGAACAGAATCTAATAACGGAAAAACCGCAATAAACTACATCAGTGAGTGTTTACAATTAAAACTCTACCATAAGAAGGTGACATTTCTGCTTGATTGCCAGAATTCTTTAGAAAAAAGTAGGCGCAAAACGACAAATGTCGCTACGATCTATTAGGAACGAATACTGTTTTTGGTCAAGAGCTAGGAAAGATGTAGCATGATTATTTTACAACTATATGGAAATACTGATACTATCAAAAATAAAAAGGAAAGTTATATTCCTTCTTCTATCTCAGCAGAATACATCATCAAGCCAACCTCGATGCTAATACCTTAGCTTCCACAATTTTGAAACCGAAGGTCATTTAACTTCGGTAGTAAAATAACCAACATGTGTTTATATTGCTGCGCTATGGGGACTATGGCTCATTCGATAGATTATCCACTGAGGAAGATCCAGCTCGTTGCGCGACATAGATACCACCTCGAGAACACGAACAACTGTGGACCATCCACTCGGATCATCAACTCTGATGAAGATGAAACCATCAAAACGTCAACCGAATAAACATCTTTATCAACCTCGTGTAAGCTCAACAATATAAACACATGCTGATTAGTTTCCATAGTCATTTGAGAACGTTCACAGGAAAATCAAAATCTTCATAAAGAAATCTTTCCCTTTTCCAAGTAATCAGCGAGAAACGAAATTCGTCCTCACCGCACGTCAGGTTTGGCCAGTGGTTCAAATTCCAGAAATAGCACGAAATATCTTGCATTCCTCTTCTAAAATTTTCTATAACAAAGCACACCATCAGAACAGTAGTTGAGCGGCTGTATTTACCACCTTGTGGTGACTACGCGATAATAGCCCTTTGATAACGGTTGTTATTTAGCTGAATCCATCTGATATCGCTAGTCCATCTGATATTCAGCATCCTGGCGCACATGGTTGCGTTTTTGATTTCTGATTCGGAACTTTAAACTGTCTTCTATGCTAGCATGATATGGAATTCTTCAAGCATCACCGTTTCTATTTAATAAAATTGATCTTCGTCCAGCTTATATAGCACTCAATTTCCAAAGCGGAAGTTAGGTGAAGAATATGAACAAATCACAAATGATGTTATAGAACGAAATTCCAAGCTTGGATTTTTGGACAGCGTACACTCCTCATCTAAGTGTGGAAATGCTGCGGTTTCAAGATGAACTTCCCAACTACTGCAACTTCAACTGGTGGTGCTATTCTTCTCTCATTAAGGCATTTCTTCATTATTTCACTCAAGAGTTTGGCAAACCTGGTACGGTCATTTGCCTACGGCTCAGACACCTTCACACTGACGTATGAGCTTGAGAGTTTCGTGTTGCAAAAAGGACTTCCCTCTGTGGTTTTCAAGTTGTCATATTAAAAAAACTCCAGAAAATACCCATACAGATCCGCTAAAAACAAGTAAATAAAAAATAACTATCCGGATCTCGAAAAACGCGAGTATTGCAAGTAACCTCGATGTTTCAACAGTTTCCTAGAAGACCTACCTCAGAAAGCGAAACAAAGTGATGAAGGAAACATTATGTTATAATTAAAACTGAGCAAATCTCAAAATTACCCTTTAAATGTCTAAATGTCCCTAAAAAAGGAATACTACGCCAACAGTCGCAAGCAGGAAACGTTCACAAAAATGAACACGAGACTAACCCAGTAGGAAAGCCATACAAAAAAATTCAACATACGATTAATCCGTCCATGAGCACGGTATGTTCGTCGTCGCATTTTGGCAGCTCGTTGTACGACAATGTGATCCACAACAAGATGGTCCACATCCAAGCCTTTATACTCAGCGTTGCTTTCAGCGTTTCTAAATTATCAATCTTATAAAGCAAACTTTTTTTGTTTGCCCTCTACTACTTTTTTCACAACAGGGTATTATTTTTTGTACTTTCACAACATTGTGAAGAGTAACTACTATGATGCTGAGTTATTTACAAAACTTGGATCCCTGGCCACTGTCGAAACCGTGATTACCCTTCCGGGTCCAAGCGTTACCCAATGCATAGGCGAGGAATTGCTTTCATTTCTCTTAGCCACTCCAACTTTTGCAAATATCTCAGCATCAGTGTTATTCTACAAATCTTACACTTTGTCATAAGTATCCAGCAATGAACTCCCATGTCAAAATCCCAACTTTTCAAATTTTCCGCTAAAAAAATTCCTTATAACACACATGCGCACAAACTACTTTTAGTTCCGTAAACAAAAACAGCTCAAATAGGAACGTAGAAGGTTTTGTTCTGTCTAGTTCGCGTGTTCCGAAGGTCCCGGGCATTTTGGTATCCCATTGCATGTAACAGGAAAGCACTAATAGTGGTGGCAGCATCATTTGAACCGGTTAGGTAACAGAAATTTTCCTGAATGAAATCTCACTTCTTCGACTGTTTAAAATAAGAGAAATGAAAAAAAGTTTTGTGGGTTCCAAAAAATCGAATTTCATCGTTGTGGAATAATAAAGTTTCTACAGTGACGCTGAAGATTCGTAGGTTTCAATGGTTCTTATTTGATTTTTTGGAATTTGATACGAATGTCCAAAGTTGAACGACGCAGCGTTTTGTGACCTCGTACGAATGAAAATCTATTCATACCGGCCAAATTCTGAGTGTTGTAAAGGGATTCAAAAACCTCAGCTTATCAAAAGAAATCCGTATAATTCCCACGAACCGTATTTTGGAATACCTTTAAGGTAGCACGAAAATGATTAGGTACAACGGCCTCACAAATGCGCACAATAGCCTTACATATCCCACAAAAGTCAAAGCTGTAGAAAAACAACGTAGGAAAAAAGCAAAAAAACAAACGAAAAATACGTTGATTCCAAGTATTCACACGATAAAATACTTACTTCAAGAGGTCGAGAAGGAACTCGGCAGACTTCTTGGGCCAGCGACCTTGTGTGGTGTTCCACTGCTTACACTGTGCCTTTCGTCCAACTCCACCGTTGTAGCGAAGGAACGGAACGATCTCCTTCTTCTCCTTCACGTTCTCCAGAAAACGCTGTGCTCGTCTCAATGGCATATTGCGAAGAGCCATCGCTGCCTCGTGCGTGTTCTTAAAATGCACTCGGAGATCTGATCCACGAGCTTTGCACGATTTCGTGCTATTGTCGGGATTCTTCGTGTAATGGATCTTCGTCATCACAAAAGGATTACCTAAACGTAGTTAAAATGAGTCTATCCTTTGTAAGCACAACAAGCAAAGAGACAGACCCATTCTACGATAGTTGAAGTACGAAGAATGCACATATAATAAAACTTTAAAGCTCACATGCTAGCCCCAAATTTAAAAAGCGGTTGATTTAACGCACATTATAACTAACCACAAAGCTGCCTTAAGGTCAAAAAACTCAAAAGACGTAAAAAATCAAGAGACCTCCACTGGTAGAGTTTGGAATCCAATAAGTTAGTAGCGACAGAACAAGCTCGGTAATTCACAACGTAATCATTTTTTATTTATTGCCTATTGCCAAAGTATGATGTGTGAAACATAAGCAGAATGATGATGATATATTTACAAAGCTCCGGACAGCAGATGTCTCTGATGGAGACCGAAACTGTTATTTCCGTTTCCGGAGGCTAACGCGTTCACCACCACACCATGCGGGCCCATTAAACTCAGTAATTCTTGATAGAAAACTAAAACAATAAGCGAAATACAACCACAACGTTGCTGAGATATTTGCAAAACTCTGGACCGCAGGTGTCTATGGTGGGGAACGAACGCGCTATTATCCTTTCCGGGGAGTAACGCGTTCACCACCACACCATGCGGGTCCTTTGTTTCGCACGTCTCTCAGCTATATCTATCGATCTTTTTGCCACAGCAATCACCCGTCAGCGGGGTTGATCTGGGGAGCGCAAATCGGCATAGAACCCAGTTAAGCTATGGCTGTAGTTGAAATCACAATGTTTAACGTTTTGTTTTCTGCCTTCTATAATTTTCATGGCAGGTTATTAAGCGAAATACAACCACAACGTTGCTGAGATATTTGCAAAATTCTGGACCGCAGGTGTCTATGGTGGGGAACGAACGCGCTATTATCCTTTCCGGGGAGTAACGCGTTCACCACCACACCATGCGGGTCCTTTGTTTCGCACGTCTCTCAGCTATATCTATCGATCTTTCGATCGATATCGATCGATCTAATAGCGCGTTCGTTCCCCACCATAGACACCTGCGGTCCAGAGTTTTGCAAATATCTCAGCAACGTTGTGGTTGTATTTCGCTTAATAACCTGCCATGAAAATTATAGAAGGCAGAAAACAAAACGTTAAACATTGTGATTTCAACTACAGCCATAGCTTAACTGGGTTCTATGCCGATTTGCGCTCCCCAGATCAACCCCGCTGACGGGTGATTGCTGTGGCAAAAAGATCGATAGATATAGCTGAGAGACGTGCGAAACAAAGGACCCGCATGGTGTGGTGGTGAACGCGTTACTCCCCGGAAAGGATAATAGCGCGTTCGTTCCCCACCATAGACACCTGCGGTCCAGAGTTTTGCAAATATCTCAGCAACGTTGTGGTTGTATTTCGCTTAATAACCTGCCATGAAAATTATAGAAGGCAGAAAACAAAACGTTAAACATTAAAACAATAAGAATAAACGGTCCAACTACTAGCTTACTAACACTTAGTGATGTACCACACTGGCCTAAAAATCCCCAGAAAATGCACTTGGGACTACTTAACGATGGGTCCCATACAGAATTGCCTTTTGTTAACATGGGCATCTTGCCAGGTTTGTTTGCAGGTCATTGTGGATGCCCTTCGGATCAATTCATATCCCACTTTTTATTCTTTTCTGTATAAAAGTGTACGTTTACTAACTTGCAAGTTTGGTATTAAATTCCTCAATACAATCTTAACTTGGTGTTTCGCATTATTATTAGCGATAAGTGCCCAACAAGGTGCGTATGGCGCAGTGGTCGGAGGGGCTTTGCAATACACGTGGGATCGATCCCGGCGCCCGTGGCCCACCAAGCCCTCCGTTCCTCTGGGTTCGGCAGATTGGTACCAGAATTGTCTGGAAGAATAGTAGTACTGGCTCCAGACATCAGTAGGCCACCGCGAGTCATTGTAACTGCTAGATATGCATTCAGTGCCGAACAAAAGCAAAACTCTGTTTTAAATCTTGCATCTATTAAAACTCTGAATGCTTATCACTAAATATTCTCTTATTCTTTTGCTTAGTCCTTATACGTTCTTAGGTGCTATTCTAATGCCGTTCAGTTTCCAGATGATCAAAGCCATCCTCGTGATAAACAACCATGGGAAGCCTCGTTTGCTGAAGTTCTATCAGTTTTACACGGAAGAGATGCAACAGCAGATTGTCCGTGAGACATTTCAGCTCGTTTCGAAACGAGACGACAACGTTTGTAATTTTCTGGAAGGTGGCACGTTGATCGACGGTAATGACTATCGCCTAATTTATCGTCACTACGCCACGCTCTACTTTATCTTTTGTGTGGATTCATCCGAGAGCGAGCTTGGAATTCTGGATTTGATACAGGTGTTCGTCGAGACACTCGACAGGTGTTTCGAGAATGTCTGTGAGCTGGACTTGATCTTCCATGTTGATAAAGTGCATCACATTCTCGGCGAAATTGTCATGGGTGGAATGGTCTTGGAGACAAACATGAACGAGATATTGCTGAGAATACAGGAGCAGGAGAAGCTGCAAAAGGCCGAGGCCGGTATCGCAGCTGCACCGGCCAGGGCGGTGTCGGCTGTGAAGAGTATGAATTTACCACAACAGCTTAAAGACATCAAATTGCCTGATCTGCCATCCCTTTCGAATCTAAAGAATGCATTTTAAACACAGCCATTACGTCGGTTAAAAATTTTCATTTCGTACCACGAAAAGGATTAAGTTAGTTCCTAAAACTGCGCAATATCGGGACTACTTGTCCACCTGTAACTATTTTTTATGCGTTAAGGTTCTTAGGTAGTAAATTTGGGTATACAGTTAGTGGAGGCTTGAATACGTGCTCTATTTAGTAGGAGTTCTCATTCCCAGTAGTTTTGGTCTAAAAATTGGGTCTTGTAAATCTTGTAAAATAAGGACCCAGAGATTGGGGTTATTGCTGCTTCACTTACTCGTGACTTGATTGATAACCCTGGCTGTGTTTAAAATCTGACTTCCTTCTTCCACGGCGATGTATTACCCTGTTTTTGATCTCGTTTCTGTTTTGTAGAGCTATACTTCTTCGATAGTTATTTTCACCTTCTACTTTTTCATGAAATATTTAGTATTTATGACCATATTTTGTGCAGTTTATGTGAAGTTATATCTTAATTATGTAATAAATATTTATAGGAATTCCGTTGAAATGTTGAAGTGGAGGTGATGTCCTTTTCTTTCAATCCAGGCCCAAGCAGGATAAGTAGTCTAGAGCTGCATGGTTCACCTCTTTCAGGTAGTTTTCTTACTTAGTACTAGGGTGGTGCGAGTTTTGAATTTTTCGATAATCAAGTCCTACATTAGTATTTTAATGCGTTTAGAAAGAAACTTCTCATGTGGCTCTCCTATTCCACTACCTGGACGCTTTTCCCAACCAGATATGAGATGTTATGACCCAGAAGTACCGTTTTTCCCCGAACTCGGGCCTTATTCGGACGTGGGTATTTTTTAAAAGTAGTTTATAGAGGTGAATAATCAGTTCAGTTACTTAAACACCTTTAGTTCATTGATCAGGGAAATGGATACGATAACATCCAACGGTGTGAAGTTCCTGAAATCGTGCCATGCACGCTTCATCCTGGTATGTTGTTCGGTGTGTTATGCATAAAGTGCTTTTATTTATTTCTAAATGAACCGAATTATCTAATAAAATGCTGAATAGAAATTCACAACGAGAAGTTAGAGGCGCCCTGCAATACACATGGGGTCGATGCCAGTGCCCCAGGCCCGCCAAGCCCTCTATCTCTTCGGGGTCGATAAGTTGGTACCAGACTTGTTTGGGAGGATAGCAGCACTGGCTGGATACATCGGTAGGCCACCGTAATTCATTGTAAAAGCCAGATATTCATTCATTCAGCCCCAGTGTTGCCTAAAGTCGGATGCATGGCGCATCCCTGATGGATTGGTCAACTCCGAGAGCTTTATCCTTTTTTTAAGCGTGTTGGAAGGTATTTTATCCATTCTTCAGGTGTATCTTGGTTTTTTTTTTGTTAAAACCCGTTCAGCCAACTATCTCGTTGTTTGACATAATGTGATCCATCAATTTTCACACAGTTTTCGTCTGTGTTTCCAGACAATCTCTATATTGATCTGCAAGACAATCCCACTTACGAAACAGAAGAGGTTCAATTCCAACATATCGCCGAATACAATTCCAATCCACCACCAGTTCCAGAAGTAGTAGAGAGTTCTGTACAACCGCCGACGGATGATATTTTACCAGGCAATGGAGTTTTTGTGGGTAAAAAGTTTTTTCGCTTGCTGTTTCAGATCGTTGTGAAGATTTTTAAAATGCATCGCAAAGATTCAGGAGGAAATCACTCACGCCCGATGTATTGATTGTGACAACGTAATCGATTCACGAGTTCCTAATCATGACAGTACATCATGTATGTCAAAGAAAAATTTCAGGTGAAATTTGCCAAATCTTTTCAGTTTTTATGGTATATCCAACATTTCTTTTAAAGAAATACTTGAATTTGTTAACTTTTTTGGTTACTGCCTGTTACAAGTTTTTACGGCAGGGTATTATCTACTGGAAAGGTTGGTTTAGGATACTGGAAAAGGTAATAGTGCGTTCGTTCTCAACCGCAGACACCTGCGGTCCAGTGTTTTGCAAATATCTCAGCACCATTGTTACTTCAATTTGCTTCTGCAACCATCACAGAGTGTGTGGTGCAGTGGTCGGAGGCGCCCTGCAATACACACGGGATCCATTTCCGTTCACCCGGACCACCAAGCCTTCCTTCCCTCCGGAGTTGGCAAAGAGGTACCAGACTTATATGGGAAGATAGCAGCACTGGCTCGATACATCGGTAGGCCATTTCGAGTCACTGTGAAGGTCAGATATGCATTCAGTCGTCTAATGCATTGTGCATCGCTAGTGATCAAAGCCGAGAGCTTTATCCACTTTTTATCCTCTACAACCATCATTGAAATTGCTGTTGTAAGAAAATGGTTTATCTAATGACTTCAAATAGATAGTACTACCGCAATAGCTAGAATTCTTCAAGTAGATTATGGAAGATCTACCTTACTACGTAAAATACTGCATTTACGACTTGCGGCTACCAATACTAGAAATCTTTTACTGGCTCTTTTTCTAGGAAATGATTATGCCGAAATTGATCCTTTAGGTGTTCTCAGTGCACTGCGTCGTTTAATTTCGAGCAGAATCTTAATGTGCACAAAATAGTTGAGCACACACGTCAGGTGAGAGGAATCTGTTCCCTCTTTTGTTTATTTTAATAAGTTTTTTCTTTCCTAAATTAGGTAATCCTTACGCATTTCTTTTCTTTTTCAGAATGACTATGTCTCTGGAACAAAGTGTGGGTTCTGTATCAGGCGTAAGAAAAAGGCTTTCCAACGGTACTGTGCTTACATAGCACATGTTAAATGTCACAGTAAACCGGACCAATATACATGTTCTTCGTGTTCTGAGGAATTTCCCTATTTCGTGCGTTTTAACTATTTTCGGATTAGATCAATGCGACCCTACCTGTTCTGCTCAGTTTTATTCGTCCTTCTCATTCCCGGTCAAATATGTTTGTAGAGGGCTCATCGCCTCACGGGTGCTCCAATGATGAGTTTCTCGAAATAAAAAGTTAATCTTTCGTTTCGCCTGCCTCTCAGCTAGTTCTATCGATCAGCGCCATCAGCAATCACCCATCAACGGGATTAATCTGGGGAGCCCACATCCGCATTGAACCCAGTTAAGCTGAGGCCGTAGTTGAAATCACAATGCTTTATATTTCATTTTCTGCCTACTGCAATTTTCACGGCAGGGTACTAGGCGAAATACAACCACAACGTTGCTGAGATATTTGCAAAACTCTGGACAACAGGTGTCTATGGTGGGGAACGAACGCGCTATTGTCATTTCCGGGGAGTAACGGGTTCACCACACCATGTGGGTCCTTCGTTTCGCCTGTCTCCCAGCTAGTTCTATCGATCAGCGCCATCATTCGCGCGTTCGTTCCCCACCATAGACACCTGCTGTCCAGAGTTTTGCAAATATCTCAGCAACGTTGTGGTTGTATTTCGCTTAGTACCCTGCCGTGAAAATTGTAGTAGGCAGAAAATGAAATGTAAAGCATTGTGATTTCAACTACAGCCTCAGCTTAACTGGGTTCAATACCGATGTGGGTTCCCCAGATTAATCCCGTTGATGGATGATTGCTGATGGCGCTGATCGATAGAACTAGCTGAGAGACAGGCGAAACGAAATAGTAATCTTTTTATTTCGGGAAACTCATCATTGGAACGCCCGTGTAACTCTGTGATTGAGTGTGCTATGCATGTAGACGTAGTTGCTGATCCGATTTAGCACACTGGGTCAACCAATACCGTCATCCCACCTAGTTCAAAAATTTAGTACTGTACTTGTTTGAGAGGGAAAAACCTACTTGTTCATCGAATACCTCTGGAAGTCACTGGATATGTTAAAGATGCATTAATTATCTGCTATGCCTAACGAAATCGAATGCTTGGCGTATTTCCAAGAAGTGGGTAGACACCAAAAACTGTGTCTTTCTATCCTTTAACACAGCGTCTACTTATGGTATTAACGTTACGGGTGCATGTTTTTTAGAGTATGTTTCGACGGCACCGCAGATTAGTTCATGAAGAGATGGATTTAGAAAACCTGCCTAGAAGTTTCTCAGCAGAGCTGGGATTCTGCCCTAAATGCTGCTCTTTAATTTCCCTAGACCAAGTAGAAATGCATCGTCTACTTCATCAACTTCATACGTAAGTGTACAAGTTTATCTACATGCAGTACACCGTATATTTCGTCTTTTAAGGAAAATTGATAGCAGGAAGTTGCGGACACCAAAGTGGAAAGAGAATTTACCCAATGAAATGAAATCTCGCGGTGATCTGCTGTCCGAAAAAGGAGTTGATGAAACCGCTAATCGCTCCACAGTCTCGCTTAAAGGACGACGGAAGACTTATGCGTGTAGCAAATGTGCAAAAATCTTCTGCCGTCCTTCGGAACTGCAGAGGCATTCTGTTGTACACTCCGGTGAGGATTACAGTTCCACTTTTTTATTAATTGTATGTGTGACTTTTTCCACTCAACAAATTATCTTCACCTTTGGAAACCTTCCACTTTTCTTCAACAAATCTGTCTGTGTAGGTCTTGTGTAATTTCCTATTCGTTTGTTCTAGTCTTTCAAGCGAGGTGGGAGACATTGCTAGACATGCCTTTTCATTACTACACACAGGGCTGCCTGTTTGAACCCACGCAGAACTAACCAATCCTGTTATCCGTTGATATTCATAGAGAAGACTAATATCGTTAAACAGTAACGTAATCCACACGTAAATCAGAAGGTCTTTGAGGATGGTGGATGCAAGTGGACGAATAAGTGAAGGGAGTGCAGGGAACCGTATAGTATGTGTTCTTGGGTCATGTAATAAATGAATGAATAGTATCTTTTTCATCTTATTACAGTCATCCGTCGACTTGGTCGGCTTTTTAGGTGGCTGTAAGGACGGAACTTTGACCGAAGTGAGGTTCAAATTCAGATACGTAATTTACGTTTCGTGAGCAATCTCGTTAGTATAGTAGTTCCCTTCAGAGTTCGTGCTTTTATAAAGTGCTCTATCTACATCTGCTGTTTCCGGTGTATGGGCAGCTGTTATTTTGTTGAAGATATATGTTAGACTATGTTGTGAAGGCAAAACACTTAGAAAGAATGAATTGCAAAGCAGGACTTAACTGGAATTTCGAAGCGTCAGTTTAAACCTTTTACGGCCTATGTTTATGTTAGTTGATTCTTCGATTTATTACCGAACACTGAAGAAAACACATTCTTTTCTAAGTCATTGAATGCCTTTTATTGGTGCACGATACTTTCAATACGATAAGTAGGCAATATTCCTATAAGTTCGAAGTATCTGTTTTGTTAAACAATGGCGTCGCTTACGATAATGCTTTAGCTCCGTAGTTTTATTTTCACCTTAAATCGTTTACTTTTGTGTGATTAGCCTTGTCTAGCATGTTGAGTATTCTCAGAAATAATGTAGAGTAGTAGTTTTCAAAGGCATTCCTACCGTCCTTTGTGCGTAGTAATGGTTGGTCCTTCCCTTCTCAGGACTTCGTTTCGGTTAGGCTTAGGATTACTGGCTGGATAGCTGCTATTAGCAGGATAAATTTCAGTGGTCTGTGTTGCTCAATTTTGAAATTTCATGACAGATGAAGAAAAAAAATAGTGAAGTCTTGGAAGCTACTCCGTAAATTTTGTGTCTATTCAAGATGTTGTAGCCTTTTCGTTTCCTTTGTATGGAGTTTCTAAAGCATTTTTCTAGAATAGTTCTATATCCATGGATATCGCACTATGTTTTCTGGCTTTCTTTTCATAACTTTGTGGATGTGTCTTTGTTTGCATCTTCGAAGGTCCGCGGACTAGTCGACGCAGTGCATAATTGGGAAGCCGATTCCTGTTTCCCATTGGAACCACTTTCTTTGTGAACTTAAATGCGGTCTTCATAACAGGCAGTCGTAGTTTTTCTTTGGATATTAACTGGTTTTACAGTACATAGCGAGTTATTAGGCCCTTAGAAGTCACCTTTTAGTAGGCAACTTTTCGCGTTTGATGAAAATTTTGCGTTTGGTGTCCTCTTTTGTATGTTGATATCTCAATAAAGAGTCGTTACTTCTATTCTGTTGGCGATTTCGTCTTCATCTTTAAGAATTACGCTATAAATCTTTTGAAAAAATTTCTGTAGCGGATAAGTCCTCGAATCTATCTATGGTTCCGCGTAATCAGTAACTCATTTCGTGTGCTACTTCGACGATATTTTCTGCCCAGAAGATCAAAAAGCATCCCTAAACAACGAGGCATCACTGGAGTATAAAGTAAAGAATGAAGGAGAGGTTGAGGAGAGAAAAGAAAAAGCGAGTGCAAACTTCCAATATTTTATTCTTTAATGCTCTCGCTAAAAATGACGAGGTTCAACAGAACATATATTTTAGAAGCTCCGCCGAAGTGGAAATGCGATATGTGTGATAACGTGTACGCCCACAAATCAGGTTTGGAGAGTCACAAGAAAGCTGTTCATGAACACCCACTAAAAATGCTCATTGATTGCAAACTTTGCTCACAAACGTTTAATAAGGTGCGTCCATAGAGGGATAAGTTCTAAAGTTCTGGTTTTTATTTAGCAATTGAAAATCAATGAAGAAAGATTATTCCAGAAATCGAATCTGTTTCGCCATATCAAGATGCAACATCCTCTTGAAGTGAAAAAGCCTGTACTCGATTGTCCAGAGTGTAACTGCGTGTTTGCTAACTATAGGACTCTCACCAGACATCGTAGGTCGGCGCATGGCACATGTATGTTGCAGCAGTGATAGCTTTTAGCGGTGTTATTGCCTCAATGCTCATCAAGCTCTCGTATGCGTAAAATATGAAGTGCTTTTTGTTTTACTCAATGTTTAATATGGTTAGAATGTGATTAAAACATTCTTTAAAACTAAACATACCGTTCAGCCTGCCTCCCTTCATTTCTCTGTAATGTCTGTGAGCGCTCCTTTCCAAAGGAATCGCGGTTACGCCGACACATGCTAGTGCATAACAATAACGATGCATCAAAACCATTTCCATGCAGTCGATGTCATAAGAGGTGGTCAACACTCGTTTCATGCGTTTTGTATTAGATCTGAAATAATTCCGACATTTGAGGTTCAATTTGAAATCTACTTTGAAGCTGCACATGGAGATTCATTCACGGAAAGATGTGGATGATCCAATTTTGACAAATCCAAAATGCCCAGTATGCATGAAGCATGTGAGTTCGACTGGTATAACTGAAAAGTTCATTACTTGTTCATGAGTTGATTTTCACGTTTGCATCTTAGCATCGCAACAAAAGACAAGAAACTTGCTCAGATACTTGGATGGGCCGTCTTCACTGGTTGTGCGGCCCAACATGTTCTCAGTTTTTTTCAAAGTTTTGCTGGTGTAATCATTGTGGTTCCTGGAGTCCTGAGGTCAATCAGACCAGAGTCTGCCCCAGGTCGCCACCACCACAGGCAGTGGCCGCCCGTGTGAGTCAGAGGGAGATTTTCCACCATGCAACTTGTTTAGTGCCAGGACGCTGACGGATCCTGGTATTGGTTTACTCTTAGCTGGGCTTCCTTATGAAAACACCGGACTTCTCAGCTTGGGAAACCCTGCCCAGGGGATGAGTTCGCCCGCTGCATATTGCAGCCCGGCACCCAGGAACACCTCCTAGCCTCGATGAGGCGATAAACCGTTGGGAGGAAGACGAAAAGCACTAAAAAGAGATGAAAAATTCAGCTGAGTTGGAATGATGGGCATAGGTGATGTGCTACTTTATTTCTTAAAATTTCTGAAATTTTGCAGTTGTCGTCTCGCAGTGCTTTGCGGAAACATATGTTAATTCACGAGTGCAATTACGAGTGCTTTATGTGCTTCCAGGTTTGTCATCATTGTTCTTTTTACAGTGTTAATTAACATAGGAAAAAGTTTTTTCTGAAGAAATTTTCCACTCTCCATCGTCTCGACAAACACCGCTGTGTTCCGCAGACATTACTGCATGAAGAGGTTGAAAGTCAGTTGACCGAACTTCTGGTCTCTTCCAGAAAACATCCTCATTCTGAAATTCGACAACCGCCCAAGTGAGACGTTCTTAATAGTTTTACCATTCACAGATCGTATCCGAGATTTCTTCTTTAGAAATTATCGCTGTCAACTTTGTCCCAATTCATTCTATTCTTTTCGAGCGTATAAAGAACACTGTTCCCAACATCAAGGACTGCGTCCTCATCTCTGCTGGACTTGCCACAAATCATTTCGAACTACTGGTCAGGTTCTCAGCCCTCTGTTTTGTGTAGTTTCAATAAACGTGATTGGACCATTTCCGTGTTTATGTTTTAAGAGTTACTTGAACTTCATAAGGAAGTTCATAATCGAGGACCTGTTTACTGCGAGTATTGTCCTGCAATCCTCCAAGGACGAAACCAGTATAGTCAACATGTACAGTCAATGCATCAATCGGAATCGGGAGTAACAAAGCACACTGGCGTTGAACTAACGGACAGAGTGCGTGTTTTGGATTATGCTCTGAAGGACAAGTAGTATTTTTGCTGAATAAATTTATTGTATCAATTATGATGAATTCGTAAGTACCAATAAGTTAGAACACACTGCAGTTGAACATTTCGGACGAATTAGTCCACTTAAAGGTCTAAAATTCCTTATTAAGGTTTGTGGTGCAGCATCAGTGCAGTCCTTCCCTGAACTAACAGGCCGTGAACTAGCTGAGGGTCTATTTAGAACACGAGCGCAGTCTGCAGATCGTAACGATCTAGATTTTCCTATCGGAAATAAATTGTCAAGTAAATTTTGAAGCCCTTTGTAGTTCATTTCGACTTGTTTTGTGACAACTCTGTTCATTTTTCTCATTAAGGAGAATTTAGATGATTTAGTCGTACCGGACGATAGAGCGGTTCGTTGCCAGGTATGCAAGCATCTTTATAACTCAATTTCCCATCTGGTGAACCACTGGATCGGGTACGTTGGTATCGTCTCTTTTGAATTTTTGGTCATGTTTTTGTTTATCTAATTGTTCTTTAGTTGTGGATTCGATCGTGATCACTCGTTCTGTGTGGTTGCTTGTCCACTATGTGCTCACTCATTAAATGGTGTTACGGTTGGCGTGGAACATATGAGAGAACATCATCCACATATTCTCAGCAATGTAGAAGGAAATAAAGTTGCTATAGAGCAGAGGTGATCAGAATTTATTTTTGGTAGCTATTTCTACCTTTTCGTTGGAGCTTTCAGCTACTGAATAGTGGGGAATAACCGTTCAGATTTTTATTTTGGAAAGTATTTTCTCCAATTGTTATCAGAGATTCTACCCACTATGGTGAATCCGTCCATCTCATCGAGCTTATAAAATACTAACTTGGATACTTGTACGGCCCATCCTCACTGGTTGTGCGGCCCCCAGCATATTCTCCGTTCTTTCCAATTTTGATGGTTTAGCCATTGTGTTTTCCTAGAGTCCCGGGGTCAGCCTGGCTAAAGTCTGCCGCAGGCCGTCACGACCACAAGCAGTTGCAGCGGTTGTGTATCAGAGAGAGATTTTCGACCATGCGACTAGTTTGGTACCTGGACGAAGGTGGATCCTGGTATTGGTTTACTCTTATCTGGACTTCCTGACGTAAACGCCAGACTTCCTCTCAGCATGGGAAACCCTGCCGGGTGGTGAATTCCTTCGCTGAACTTCGCAGCCCGACACCCAGGAACACCTCCTAGCCGCGACGAGGCTGTAAAACGTTGGGAGGAATTTGTAAAATACTTGATATAATTTATACCTATGGCTAAAAGTGAACTGCAAAGGCAGTCGCTTCAAACGTGTTCCTATAGCTCTATCGGCGAACTTATGAGAATCTGTTTACAAAAAAAGTCAAATTCGTAAGAGTTTTGCTGTGCATAATCATTCGTTGCTTTTTATTCAGAGAACAGAACACGTTCATTGAAGAGAACGAAGATTTCGGGTTTATCGAATCACAAGTGAAGACGTTAACACCAGAAAGAAGGCATAAATGTCAAGTCTGTGGTTCGTCGTTCAAGAAGCCGAGCGATTTAGTCAGGCATATTCGTGTTCACACTGGTATGCACACTACATTTGTATTGAATTTCATCTCGTATTTTTATATTTAACTCTCGAGGTCGATATAGCCTTTCAAATATCGATTTTCTTCTTTCAGGTGAAAGACCGTTTTCATGTGATATTTGTCAGCGTAGCTTCCGTGTTGCTAGCTCGTTGTATGCTCATGTACGAACTCACACGAGGTTACAAGCTGAGCATCCTTGTAGAGTTTGCGGAATTGTGAGTAACTTTGCGATCGTTTTTAGTACTTTACTTATCAGAGTTCCACTTGTAGGAGTTCTATTCTAAAAGTTCTCTTGCTTTACATCTGAGAATACACAACGGCGAGAAACCTCTACAATGCAAAGATTGCGACGCTACGTTTCGGTTAGTTGCCTGGATGCTGACTACATTTGTAGTACTGGACATGTTTTCACATATAATTTATACTTTCACCACTTTATTTTATCCAGAAACTCTTTCTATCAAATTTTCAGAACGAGTGCTGCACGTCGACAGCATGAAATCACCTGGCACGAAGCACCTGGTGGTCATAAATGCAAACGCTTCCCTTGTCATTATTGTAGCGCTTCTAAGAGGAAGAGAATTCGTGAAGAAAATGGTGCAGAGGTTACCTTTACTCTATTTTGCAAGAAATTTTTGTAACAGTAAAATAATGCCTAGTGGTTCGCCTCTTATGAGTTTTAAACCAATTCTACCATACGGGAAAAGACTAATGAAATCTTCTCATTATCTTGGTTGGAAAGTACTACATATATTTTTGTGAATGAGTTTCAGCAATCTTTGATATCTTCGTCAGATTCTGCAATCTGTGCACCTTTAATGTGTCCACCCGTGAAAGTCAGAACTCTGTTACCTGTAAAGCAGCTTCCTGCTGCCAACGTTAGGGTGCGAAAGTTTGCTTTTCCTACAGATGTACTCTTCACCGAAGCTTGTAGAAATATTTCGCTTCAGAGCGTCTCAATAAACTCCATTCAACCTAGACAATTTATTGAGACAGCGGCTCAAATTAGTTCCCTGCCGGCAAAGCCAATCAAGTTGTCAAGTGGGTCAGCGTTCTCAGCTTTGGTGAGATTCCTTCGATTTCATTTTTACGACTTTTATTCACTTAGCAGATTTCATTCGTATATGTTCCTTAACATTGTTTGGTAGTGTCTTTTATATTTTAGTGCTTTATTGATGGATTTCTTTGAAGTATACGGATTTTTAAGTAACTGAGTGCTAGTTTCCCATATATGAAAAGGGGAATGTCCGAAAAGTGGCAATGTTTCGTCCCTCATAATTAATGTTTTTTTATTCCACATTTTCTTTGCAGTTATATTGTATTTTGTTTTTATTTATTTTTTAAAAGTTATTTTCTTATGAGCTATAATTCCATTTTTTCGTCACAGTGATATTTTACAACCATAACAGTATTGAGATATTTGCTAGACGCCAGGTCGCAGGTGCCTGCGGTGGGGAACGAAAGCGCTATTACCCTTTCCGGAGGCTAACGCGTTCACCACCACACCATGCGGATCCTCCGTTTCGCTCGTCTCTCATATAGTTTTCTATCGGTCATATTTTATATTTCAGTTATATTAGTCATATTTTATGTTACATTCTGCTGCCTGCTGTTTTCTCATTATTGCAACATTTACACTAATTCGAACGTTTTCTCCGATTTAGGCAAAAGTTGCGGCAACCGAGCCATCCGAGGTTGAGTTCTTCATCACAGCGAGGCGTATATCACATGTTGAGTATTCCGTGACGTTCTCCAAATTGAAGCCGAAATCTATTCGATCTAAGGTAAGGACATATTAAAATTGTTTTCAATCAATCAATGCTTTGCACTTTTCAGGTTGATACAACAGTTAGTCTAAGTGCCAGTTTATTACTCGATTCAGCGTCAAGGAATGCTTCTCTTCAACTCACTCTTGGGGATTCACAAATCCTTAGTGTTTCATGTGCTGGTGTTGTGAAAGCGTTACAAAGTGGTGACTTCGGTATGTTAACGGTTGACATTCAGTTGTAGTATAAAGTCATAAATTTTGAACTGTTTATGAATATAGGGAATACTACACATTTTAAGATGGTGCTTCGTTTAAATACGTATTTAAAGAAGAGCTTCGAGTATGTTAATAGACCTTGTCCACCTTTTTTTGTTGTTGTCTTCTTTGTTACTTGTTGTTTGTCCCAGTCAGTTGGGTGGCTAAAAGGATTAACTGCAAGAACGAGACCGATTAGGTTCCGTGTACAACTCCATAATTGTCCAAACATTGGTATTATGGGAGCGACGTTGTCAACAGGCTTCAAGTATCATTTAAAAGTTCGTTGGTTACGTTTGGATTGTTATGCACCCTTACCTAAATATTTAGATAATCCGTCTTAATCGCTCGTATGGATGTGGGCACATTTCCCATTATACTGTTATTTTGCTTGTCGGACGGGGGTTTTTTCTTTCTCTAGAGTCCTGAATTAATTGTGAGGAGACATTCCCACAAAAAAGCAGCCGTGTAGTCTTACGGATCATAGGAAGATTTACCGCATTGGGACCAGGTTTCTTATGGGATGTCAGCTAACCATGACTGAAGTGTACTGCTTTCTGGGATTCCTAATGTGAATGATGTCCTGCTCTTTTTCTAACTTAGGTGGCGCTTTTAGAATGTGAACCCTTGCTGCGCTATGCAGTTCATCACACAGAGTGATTCCCTTGCCATGCTATAAGCAACTGTGCTGGAGTATATATAAGAACTTTACAAATTTTCACCTTTTTTTACTCTAAATTTCTAATGATCGTAAATTCCATGTGGAACTGCGGTTTAGGCGAAATATTCTTCATTTTTCTTCTGTGTTTGAATATTTCATTATCATGTCATACTTTTGTTTGTTCCTTGAGGCTTTATTCAAGTAAATTGGAAAAATGATTGTTGCAAGGTCTCAACAGATAGATTGTTTCAGTGGTGATGCGAGCTCGTCCTGCAGATCCAAACTGCCCTAGTGTTGTTGAGTTATTAACGTCTCCTGAAGTTGTTGAATTCATTAGGAGGTAGGGAAAAGGGGTGTTCTACTTTTTATAGTTTTTTCCTATTTTTTGTCCTCCTTATTCTTTATATTTGTGGTAACGTTGTGATTTCAGGTGTGATATTTGTGAAGTAGATCTGAGCACGAAAGAAGCTAGCGACGCTCACTTCTTGTCTGAGGATCACGAGACTGCCCAAGTAAGCTGCTCCTTCGAGCACATTAGTACTCTTTTAGTTGTCTTCCCAACACTTTTTTAGAAGTTTGCGAACTGCATATGTTGTAAATATGAAAAGATAAATAAAATATTGAATTGCAGTTAACACTTCCTCTACCCACTGCTGTTCACAGTACTCTTGAGGATTCCATGCTACCCATGGCCGCTATACCGTTGCAGAGGTTTTTGTTTTCACAGTTTTGATTAACTTCCACTAATATGTCCAGCGTCATAACTTTCTTTTCCTTTCAGTTATTGTGAAGTTTTGTGCATTTCAGAAAAGACGAGCGAACTGATTTCACATGTAAATTATGTGGACGGAAATTTCTTGATATGGAACCTTTGGTGGCACATATTCGCTTAGAGCACGAGCGTGATCATCCACAAGGAATCACCCGTCCAGTAGCTAGAACCGCTCCAATTCATTGATTTCTCCTCAAATTGATTCTTCTGCTGCAAGTATTGTAATTGCTGTGATATGAGGTTTTTTCCTGATATCGCTTTTTATAGCTCTATATCTTTTTATTTTACAGGTTACCATTGTTTAATTGGTTCGTGTTTGAAAATGAGCTTTAAAGATTGCTTTCTTAAGTATATACTAAGGAATGTTTCTTTGAGATGTTATTGAAAATACAGAGTTCTACTTTGCTGGATTTACGTAACATATTGGCCGTGCGAAGGTGACCTGTTTGTTCAACTGTTGAATCGTAGTAGGACATTACAAAGTTATTGAAGAACTTACTGTCGGGACAAGTACAACTAGAGAGCGCGATAACACCATGCTGTTCAGAAGTCATGCTTTTCTGCGTGTACCAACATCATCAGAGAAGGCGTCCAAATACTCACTTCCAACGAAAGAAACAGAAACGGTGGTAGTGTATAGCCTGATAAGCTCAATCTTTTTCGTTTTTCATGTTTCCTTTAAAGGAAGTGAATACTTCCTGGTTACTAGTAAGATGGACTGAGAGCGATGGATTTAAAAGCAATGCGTAAACGTTTGTGTAGCTGTTACTGGACGCACTGTGCAATAATTGCAGTACACTGAGAGGATATCATTATGAGATCAGCGCCAGCGATTTGCTTTGATGGAATCTGTCAATGAGGCGTTAACTGGAATGATTTTCGATTCTCTTTGGAGTAGCAGCTTAATTCTTAACACTAAATCTAAGCGTTAACATAAACTGGTTCTGCCTAGTTTATTTCCGTTGGAGTACTTACTAGACGAATACTGAGATAGTCGAGAAATGGCGGAAACTCGGTTAGATTATTGAAGTGTTGTAAATGATCAAGCGTTTTGAGTTCATTAGAATTGTGATGCGCTTATATGAAATGGTTTTTCAGCTGAAGCATCCGAAAGAGAATTTTTCCGGTTAGACCCAATTATTTCTCAGTACTACTATTAAAGGATAAATCTCTCGGTATTGATCAATCCCTGAGGGATGCGCCATGCATTCAAGTTCATTAAGCATAATTTTGAGGTGATTCGATGCATATATGTCCCTTACAATGACTCACGGTGACTTACCGATGTATCGAGCCAGTGCTGCTATCCTTCCAGACGTCTGGTACTAATTTGCCGACCCGAACGGATGGAAGGCTTGGGAGGCCATGGACGCGGGCTCGCTTCCAAATGTGTGTTGCAAGGTTCCTCCCACCACTGCGCCACACGCTCGCCTCAGTACAACGATTACAACGAAAAGTAGATTTGTGAGCGAAAGGTGGAGCCTCGTAGAAAGAATATAATCGGAATTGCACCCATTCCACCTATGAAAAACATTGTAGAAATTGAATAGGTTGTAATTGTACTGCTTGCTTTCTTGCTCCACTTTCTCTTCGTTTGTAATCGAGCACGTTGTTTTGCCCCGATTTTATGCTTGCATTCGCTGGACCACTTAATTCTTCAAAATGTGCTACTCGTAGGGAAGTATTTTTATCTAACTTCTTAAGAAGTTGAAGTTTCCTGAATATCTGGTTTACATAAGAGTGTTCCATCCCGCAATACGTTTATGTTTATAGATATATAGTGGTTAAGTGTCAAAACAATTATGAGATTAACTAGCCGGCATATGGTTTTTGCCGTTCGCCAGCCTTTCATGAAGGACCAGGTGTGAAGATGGCTCCATACGGGAGGGATTACGGTGGCGTCAGCTGCTCGATAGTTTGTCCAGCTTCTTAGCTGCCGTTCCTGGTCATGTCAAGTGCAGGTGTTAATGACGGAAATTTGACCCTACTCGTTGTGATGAACATGATTCATACGAATAGAGAATTTCTAGAAAGAGAAAAAGGGAAGGAAAATGATAGCCATTGCAGGTCGAAAGCTAATGAAACAATGATGCCGATAAAGAGAGACTATTATTGATTGCATTGGGACATCAGTTTTCAGCACTTTTCAAAGTTGAAAGAATATAGAGGCAATAAAAATCGGAAAGAAAGTGGCACTAAGTAGAAGAGCAGTATTGTAAGGAATAAAAAAAATAGATCGTGGAGCAGAAGAAAATTTCAGTGGCCAATAAATGTTAGATTTATTTTTGCTAATAATCAAACGAAGCAGCATTATATCTTTGGATTTAAGTTTACTATCATTCATCTTCGTATGGATAAAGTAGCTTCACCGGAGTTTCGAACTCCCATATGCCTGCACAAATATGCCATCTAGTGGCGCTGCGCTTTTCGTTTGTGTTGTTTGCAAACATTTCAGCCATTAAAAACTAGAAGAAGGAAATCATTTATAAAGAAAAATTACGACGTTTACTTTAAGAAAGTGCCCGAACATTCTCATCCACATTATCAGGAACCGCGACAGTGTGACCTATGCACAAATGATGGGTATTGATTAGTAAATGAACGCGAGCATCACTGGTTAGTTGGAGAGAAGCATCTTAGTTTACTTGTTGTTTACTCTTTTCTTCTACAGGCTGATTTAGTTCCTCGACGTCAGGCTCGAATACTCGTTATAAGTTGGAATTTGATTTTACAAGTGTCGATGATCACTACTTACTGTATTCCTCTCGTTCATCTACAGAAAGCATTTTCATGTCGTGGTTCAACTTACCTCTTGTACGGTGCCTTTTTAACCCACAACTGGCAATTTACGAGAAGATTTTTCATTCTGTTTCATGAGTCACTATTTAACCTACATATATAACCATAAGATAGTGGTGAACGCTATGCTGACCTATGTATGTGTATGTGTGCGTGTGTTTCTATGTTGACCAGCACATCCGGGTCTTCCGGACGTCGGCAAATCTCTTAGTTGCTCTCTATGTCATCGGTAGATCTCCCAGGCGTCGTTCGTCGTGTTCGTCGGCCGCTCGAAATGCTGTCCCACTTCCGACCTCGTCTATTTGCGATAGCATTAGCAAAACAACGACTTAACGCCATTGTGAGGTGAAGAGAAGATGCACACGGCTACCAACGGATCAACAGCCGTTGACTTACCATATCCTACAGATAAACACTACTCTGGACTGAACATGAGCAAACTTTCGACGCTCGAACAGATAGCTTGTATGCTGTAATGATAAACATGCAGTGGTTTAATCTAAAAACCCCAAAGATTAGGTGACACGGTCTTTACTTCGATTATTACTTAAGTGCATTTTGAAGATTTTTCTTGTTTGTCTTCTATTTTTCGAGGTTCTATTAATGTATTGACTACTGCTGACTATATTAAGTATCGCCTGAACTAGTTGAATAAGTGCCAAGTTCTTAATATGAGAACATGTTTCTCAATGGCTTTCGGAGGACGAATTAGAAAAAAATTGAAACGGTCGAAGAACGAAAAAATGGAAAGATTGCGAAGCAGACAACGTGTATTTTTCCTATAGTGTAAGAGTGCCTAGGATTTTGGAAGCAGCTGAAAAATATCCTCGCACCTGCTTCATAACCTATAATACGACTCGTCTCAAAGTTCAGCGAATACTAGCAAAATTTCCATTCCTCTCTGTCTTGCGTTGGAGCAGTCCGGTTGTCTCTGTTGGCTGGTGGAGTAGACTATGGTCCACATTCATGGTACGCTTTCCTTTACCTTGACCGTTTTTAGAATTAAATTACCCATGGGTGGCTCGTGGGGACCTTCCACAGTACAAATTTTACTCTTCATTGGAGCTTTGGATTGGAATGTCGACCACGTCGTTCAGAGTGATCTGTTGTTGGGGTTATGAGCTCCTCCAACTTCTTGCTGTGCGTTTGTATTTCGACAATCTAGAGCACTCTCAATGGTTGCTATTATCTTACCATCTGGCAGTGAAATGAACTGTTGGTGGGCAAAATTTAAAAATACTGTAGAGTTCCTAAACAGCGTCCTGTGATTTGCTTCAAATGTTGGACAATAAGAACTTCGTTGTAAAGCCAGTTCCACAAATGCTATGATTCATACCGTGGATGAAGATTAAGTGGTAAATTGATAAATAAGAAAAAGAAAGAGCCCGAGGTTCTTTACTGCAAGTTTCTGTTTTGTTTTCTAAGCATATTTTCCCTGATTCTTTGAGATTCCATGTCTGTAAGTGATTTCGATTTCTTATAAACACAAGTTATCGTTACAGAGATTCGAAAGGGTCTTAAAATTCAGAATTCGTTATAATTACTCTTTAACCCTGAATGGGTTATGTTTCCACTTAGCATAAGGATCTTCTATAAAAAAGGACCCTTGAAGCGCAGTGGTTGCGGGTAGTTTAAAATGCACATGTGGTAGTTGGTTCGACCCGGCGTCACATCGCTAGGACTCTGCAAGCTATTGTATAGGCCAGATATGCGTTCATTCACCTCTACGATTCTACGAATGGAGTTGGATACATGGCGCGCCGTCAAAGAATTGGTGAGGGCCATCGCTTATCCTCTATTCTTTTATATTAACTACGTAACAATATAAATGTAATACTGCGGGGCAGTCGATTATTCGAATAAAAGCGATTATTCGAGCACTTATCGATGTGATTATTCGCACTTATCAGTGGCGAATCTTTGTCGGCGTCGAGTTCATCAGGTTCGCGCCGCGACGGCGTCGTACGCGCTTCAGTGCGTTCGTGCAAGGCCGACCGCTCGTTCGGCTCGCCTCTTCTCAATCCGAGTATCCCATCCTGGTCATCGCCTTTATTCAGTTCTTAATCTCATCACTTCGTGTTTCTGTATGCTCTCAGAGACGCTCACTATACGGTTCTAACAAAGCAACAGTTTTCGCTCTTCTGTCTTCGACGAAACCCAGAAACACAAAGCTGTGGTATTTTTATGCTGAGTATGACCATAAAATACTATTATTTTAGTGGTTTATGAATTAATGCAGTATTATAGACATTCGCTAGAAGCTGTGGTCCCGTACTCTGTCAGAAGTCTATCTTTTAAGTGCCACACTTAAGTATTTTACTAAAGAATTTACTAAACCTTAAGACTTCGCGAAAATATTTCAATACTTTACCTTTTACTTTAATTTTAGGCTTATAAGTTAGATTACACCGATTATTTCATATGTTAGGCTCGCATGGCGCACTGCCGCAGCCGCCCTGCAACACACAAGTGGAATCCATCCCAGCGTCCATGGCCCACCAAGCCTGCCATCCCTCCGGGGTCGGCAAATTGGCACCAGACTTGTCTGGGAGGATAACAGCATTGGCTCGATACATCGGTAGGCCACCGCGAGTCATTGTAAAAGCCAGATATGCATCCAATCACCTCCAACGATACTCAATGAAGTCGAATGCATGGCGCATCTCTCAGGGTTTGATTAAGGCCGAGAGCTTTTATCCTTTATTTTATATATTGATGTCATCTACTGTATATTTCTATCCAATTCATTGTTCTCGGTCCTGCTTTGACTGAACTTTTTGTCCGTTCTTATTTTATTCCTTGTTTTCACTTTATTCACTCTTTTCTGGTGGATTTATTCAAATCGCATTTCTAGTTGTTTTATTAATGAACGTCCCTACTCCATGAATAAAATCCACCACCCGATCCTGTCTTTTCGCCTTTGATTCTTTCACTTCTTAGTGCCGTTAAACCCTCTTTGGTCTTGCTTTCTTCAACTCTTCCACATCGATAACAATTCGTTCGAGGCCACACAGTGCAGTACAGTATTTGCCAATACTCAGTGCTTTGCACCTCCGACTGTGCAGGAGACGATCGTAGACCGCGGTGCCGGCGATCTGCAGACGGGACTACGACGTCGGCGACCGCGCTCCTGGGCGCGGTTAGCCAATGAGTGTCGGCGGGGGCGGGACCGTAGGCGGTGGCGTCGTGAAGACGGTAGCCGTCGTTGTGTAGTGTCATCATCGTGAAAGATGTCGCTACCTTATCCTTACTATTTGGCGAATCAAGAACAAATTCGATCCTGTATGACAGCAATGTCAACACCAAGCAGGTATAACTACCGTATGTCGATCAATTTATGTGGTTTTTTCGATAACGAATGAGTTCTTTGTTACTTTTGAGCTGATGTGTTACGATTGACTGTCGAAATAAATGTTTCCGCTGTCCAATGAGTTTGTCATTCAGCTCCGGTCTCAACAATAACTTCTCCATCGAGAACATTCTCTCAGCTCGTCTACCATTTTCGTTACCACATGTCCCCATGACATCACAAATGTTTCATCCCGCAACACATTGGTCAATAGCAGCTTACCCCTTTCTTCGTAAGTGGTTTCTTATACGTGAATAATTTTCTCCCCTTCAACCAGTTCATTATTTATCTTCACTACTGTTAGTAATACTATAATCACTTCGTATTTTTGTTGAGCAAACACGAGGTGTTATTATTCTTTGTTCACGATTAAGCTGACGTTTCGGCGGATTTCGCCTTCCTCAGATTGCTCAACAAAAATACGAAGAAAATCACTTGATCAATGCCGAGGTTAATAGAAAGTCGGTCGTGGCAGTTACTATAATCACTGCTGCTATCACTACAATTACTACTGCCTTAGAACAGAACCCTTAATAGACGACGTGCATAGGATCTAACTCATCATCACCAACTTACACCATAACCCTGCTATTCAGGCTTTCCTAGCTCTATGTTTAAGAATAGATAGTCGTAATATCTTCGATAAAATGTTTCCTAGTCAGAAACTCATTCCTCGCTTGTGAAGTGGGAGTGGGAGTGTTTGTAATATTAATATTTTCTAAAACTAACTTATCAGACCGTTTTTCACAGCAAAAACCGTATCGGTGCAGAAAAACAACATTTGTCTGAAGTGAAAGAACTTACTAGAAAGCTTTCAGTATCACCTTAGCAACAGCAAAACTATTGATAGTAAAACTGTGACTACCACTTTGCTGATTTATCATTGAATTTCCCCATAATCTCCTATTTAAATATTTTTATTGTTAACTAATATCGATTTAAATCTACACAAAATGTTTTTAATTGACATTAATACTATTATTTTAAATAGGTCGGATTAAGCATTCTTCACACTCGCTTTCACACCGTACCCGTTCATATTTGAAAAGCATAGAATTGCCCTTGAAAAAATTGGAAAAGCTGCTAAGTAGCCTAAACTCGTTTTGATTTTGATTAGAATCTTTTTTTGTCGCCCCCAACTCAAACAGCGCTTTATTCCGATGACTTTCTTTCACATCATAGTGGCAGAGCGCAACTGAAAAGAACATTTGGCGGAATCCATGATCGATGTAGTGGAATACTGCTAAGAAGTCACTAAACTAGTACGATACGATTGTCTTATACGGATGATCGGTTGAATGTCTGCGTGTAATCCGTCTTTGGTGGCGCGACTACTGTAGGTGGTTGGCGGACTGGATGGTCGATCGCACTGCTGCCATTCCGCCTCCCGTTCGTTCGGTCGGCCCTCCATCCTGCTACTTACAATGGTCTCTGTTTGCCAAAGCGCACAGCGGGATGGAATACACCGCTGTTCTTCAACACTAGACGACGAATTACAAGAGCAAATGTACTCACAATTGTACTGAGTGAATGTGATCAGATTATAGAATAGAATATTCTAGAGAAAAGTTACCTGGCACCTTCTTCGATTATTGGGAAAGAACGGTACTGATAAGAACGATTTACTTGGCTATGTTCTTGACGTGTTTGTCTTCATCAGAGACGGATCGATCCGAGTCGACGGTCCACTGATGGTCGTTCACGCGATGTGGTTCATTTTCTTGGTAGTGTGAGGAGCTCCTTTTAAGCGAAACGGGTTGTAACATGAAAAAAGCCACCAGAAAGGCAACCCTCAGAAATTGATCCGTAATTGTCAATCAACAATACCAATTCACTTGTTGGTTTGGCTTAGAATTTCAAAGTAGCTTTCTTTGAGAGATCATGAGGCAGAAAATTAACAAGAGAGAAGTATATGCAGTTAAAAATGGTTTTCAAAGTGAATACTCGAAGTCCGTTTACGATTGTGATCTTCAAGAAGGAAATTTTCGTCAGCTGGAACCACTCTCGTTTTGTTTTTTTTCTTTTCCTTTGATGTTCTTGTTCCATCACATCCCTTTCCAAAGGTATTCAGTTTAATTCGTTCGCTCAAGGGACACTGGGAAAGCCTGGCTCCCAAATATTTGGAGTTTTTGGAAAGAGAGTAGTTTTATAATGCTGAGATATTGGCAAAACTCCGGACCGCAAGTGTATGCGGTGGGGAACGAACGCGCGCTATTGTCCTTTCCGGAGAGTAGCGCACTTCACCACCACACTATCCGGGTCCTTCGTTTTGCCTGTCTCTTAGCTAGTTCTATTGATCTTTTGCCATCAGCAATCACCCGTCAACGGGATTGAGAGTAGTTTTATTTTTTTTTTTCAGAGAAGACTAAGAGCCTATTTGTCGGCGGTGCCTCCGAACCGTCTTTCAATTATTCATCATTTGATTTCAGGCTTTTGCTAAATTAGAAAGAAAAGTACGATTTTCGTTTATGCGAAAACACAAACTGTTACATGAAAATGACCACTTTAATTCATACGGTATAGAGGATCCGGCGCAAAAGAGATATGGTCCCTCAATATTCTGAATCCATCCTTGTCTTTGGGAAACTTCATAGTCGGTTTTGATTGCCATTTCACTACCGATCCGTCAATGGTAGGTGTTTTTAGCACAACGGTCAGAGATCAGGCAGGATTGAGTGATGGATCACTGGACGCACGTTTTTTAACCTAAGTGATTTTTGCTCTTTCTACTGATGTGTTTGCTGAGTCAGTTACATTTCTCTTTGGTTCCTAACCGTTGCGCTCTTTTCTGTTCATTGTTAACATAGCCAAAGAATGAAAATTCTAAAGAGTGCTTATCAAACTATGCGTAAATAGTAATTCAGTTCAACAGCATAGTGCCGTTCAGGAATTCACCTTAGAACTCCTGCAGTGGCAAATTGTTCAAAGTGTAGTCTACTGGTTGAAGGTGCCTTACGGCGCACACGTTGTCATGAGTTCAATCTAGCGCCCTGAGTTGCCCAAGCCTTCCATACGTCCATAACCGGCAAATTGGTATCATACTTGTCTTGAAAAACAGCACTATTGACTTAATACATCGGTTGGTTACCTAAATATTATATAAGCCGAATTTGCATCCAATCACCTCTAACGACCCTTAATGAATTCTAATCCATGGTGCATTTATGGAATGATCGGCTTCAGAACGCTTTTTCCCTTTTTATCCTACGGTAAAATATGCAGAAGTGGAGCTCGCTGAGCACGATGAGACTGAACGAATATCTCAATTAACTGGTTCACTTTTGATGAGAAAAACCTTAGAATGTTGCTTGTATAGCTCGATTCAAAAATTGATCACTAATCTATTTATCACAGGTGAATTGCAGACATCGTTTTGGTTACAACGTCAAACATTCTGCACTTTATCCTTTTTTTTATCTTTTTACCAAAAAATATGTTTGTGTTATTCCTATCAGATCCCACGTTCTTTTCACTTTTTAGAGAGCTCCTTTCCAACTATAAAAGTCACAAACACAATCAATATTCAATCAATAATTGAACAACTGGGCATTAATCGTTTCCCTGGTTGTCATGACATCTATGTGTAGCTCATTTTTTGGATTTACAAACGTTGGTCGCTTCACCATTCTGCTTTTAGACCATGGTCTCGTGCACACACCAATTGTCACCTCTTTCTTGCCTTCATTTCACTTCGGTGGTAAAAGAAAACGTAGACATCGTACGATTTTTTCAGAGGAGCAACTTCAGGTCAGTGAACTTTGTCAGGATGCTGTCCTACTGGTGTGGGCCCGCACCAGCCTTCTTTTATTAACGATGTTTGAGCGTTCTATATAGGTATTGGAAGCGACATTCACAGAAACTCACTATCCTGATGTTTCGTTACGAGAGAAATTAGCTATACAATGTGATCTTAAAGAGGAACGGGTAGAGGTAGGCAAAATTTTGTTTTCTATTGGCGTGACTTTCGTAAGAAATCACTCTCCAGATTTTGCATATTTCCTTAAAAATAACTATGGATCCTTCACATTAAGGTTTAAAGCCACTCGCTTTTTGAATGAAAGTAATTGGTCATAATGGTTGATTGTAGAGGAAACTTTTAAACATGAAAAGTTACTTAAGTCCCTTTCCTTAGATTACGATTTTAGGAACGGTGAAAAGAATAAGTTTATAGGCTGCTAACACGCTCAAACTGTTTTCCATCCGTAAATTACCGCTTGCTTTCCTCTTTTAGGTTTGGTTTAAAAATCGACGAGCTAAAGAACGTAAGCAAAAACGCGAATCGGGAAAAGATGGTGGTGGTGGTATTGCGAAAACGGCGGCATCGGACGACAGCGATTGCGACCTCAGCGACGAGGACGACACGTCGCGAGCTAAGCGGGCGAAAGTCGCCCGTTCGTCGCCGTCCGCGTCGCCAATCGATAAAACATCACCAGCCTAGCAATTTCTGCTTCCGTTCATCTCACTATGTCAAGTCTATATATTGCAATAAAGAGAGTTTAATTCTAGAATTTATCGACCCGTTTATTAAAAAAATGGGGAAAGTCAAATAGGTAATGACTATATAAACAGGTAAACTCAGCACCTATCAGTTAAGTGCTTAGGATTGCTCCTTATATTGTGCGAAAAAAATTTTTAAATGGTAACAATTATTTAAAGCTGATAGGATTGGTCCAGATTTATGTCCTAAAAGAACAGGATATAGAAAACATTCTTTTTACATGGGTCAGATAGCCCACTAAATTTTAAGCACATTATTTTTATCTGAATTTAGTACGGTTGCATTTAAAGCTTTATGAATAATCGTACAGCGTTTTTAAACGTTTTTAAACGAAAGTAGCTTACTTTATCAAATACTGATGGATCCGCATGGTGTAGTGGTGAGCGCGTTACTTCCCGGAAAGGGTAATAGCGCGTTCGTTCCCCACGGCAGACACCTGAGATCCGGAGTTTTCCAAATATCTCAGCACCATTGTGGTTATGAAACACTGTTTTACCTCATATACTGAACGGAAATGTTTATAAAAATCGTCACTTTATTTTTTATATACGCAATGTGCAAAATTTCTCTGTTATAAACATGAGTGGAACAGTTACATAAAATATTAATATGCGTTCGTGCCCATCTTCTACTATGTTGAAAGGATCTGCAGACGATCTATGTAGAGCTCCGATATTGATCGAATGAATTCCTGCAAAAGCTTCTGCTTACTTGTAAAAGGAAAGAGATGACGGTGACGGGTTCTAAGGTGACGGTTCTCGCGTGAAATGGGCACAGCATTTCGACAGGACATTTCTCCTAAAAAGTTATTCAATACTAAGCTTTTACCGCTTTATGATAAAACGAAGGATTTAAGCTATTAAGATTTGAGGTTTAAAGTAATTCTTCAGAGTTTGGCAAGCAAGACAAAACAAAAACGTTCCAAAATACGTGAGTATTCAACATCTTCTTTCCATTAACAGCCTTTTTATTAGTGATGTTCTGCTTTACACTAGCTCTCTATTGACGGCTATAAGTAAAATCTGCTTGGCCGTCTTAATGTTCAGACGCCATATTCTTCATTAAGAACTCTTAATCTGCAGTCTACCATATTGTCCCCATTCAGTGTTATCTCCTAAATTCATAGTTCCTTAATCTCTTCGAATTTAGTCCACTCTAGAGAAGAAATCGTTAATGATAATCCTATGTGATTAAATGGCACCACGTCGCAAATCGTGTTAAAAGCCGGTCCCTGAGGCCGTTTTGTCGTCGGGTTACGGTAGTCGTGTGGTTCGGTGCGACGCCGCACGGTCTGTCGTCGGTCGGTCGGTGTGTGTAACCGATGGATTAGCGATCAGACAAAACTAGCTGTCGAACGATTCGATTGTTTGTCGGTCGACGGAGCAGTTTTGAATTCAAAGCAGCGTGTACCGATTCATTTCGAATTGTCATTGAAGAAAATAACCCGAAAACCAAAGCGTTCAAACAATGGAGCGAAAGCTTTGTGTTGTTGGTGGTCGTGATAAACATAACGTCAGTGAAAACATTATTTACAATAGTCAATTGTTTAATTCTCCGATTTTTTCGCACAAGATTGCAGACATACCAACACAAATATACACATACACATGGAAATAAGGACGTACACACATGCACGCAAGCATCCCTACACTCATACAAATGCATATATATATATATATATGTATATATATATATATATAAGTACACAGCTCTATTGTAGTCCTGGCTTCATGAAGTGATTGATAATATCGTTTTGCTCTGGTCAGATTCGCGTTATAAAACCCACGAAAGTAAACAAGTAAAAAAGCTGAAAATGACTTCTGTGTATAACAGACTCTTCATGCTTCTTCAAGTTCGGAACTCTGGAATGTGTTATTATAAAGGCTGCTAATATTCCATTGTAATTTTGTTTTTTTTTTCTCGCTCGTCATTCCATTTTTTAACGATTTCTGATAAAGCGGATCAGTCCCGAGACTCTATCCAGAATTAGTTTACAGCAAAGAAAAACCAAATATCAGGTGAAGGATCATGGTATTGAAAAACTAACTTCCTAACGATTCGCAAAAGTTTGCTACTGCTACCGTTGCTGATGGGTTTGTAAGAAAAGTCGCCGAGTCCTGTTGCTAGGGACCCTATGATGAAAGCGAAACTCCCAAGTCCGACTTTCTATTAACCTCGGCATTGATTGAATATATCTTTCTAAACAAAAACAAGCTGAACAGAAGTAGAAAGAAAGCGAAACTGTTCATGCCGGCAAAGATGCCACACAAGTTTCAACTCTTCCAACTTCCTAATCTGGAACTAAACGAACGCTTCGATCATTAAATATCTGTAAAATGCTGATCGATGACCAGTTTAAGAAAGCAGCAATGGTTTTCGAATGAAGACTCGTCTAAAATTTTAAGGACTCAAACCAAGCTAAGTTTAGCCCTGCTTAACTGTGCTGCCAAACTTGTTAGCAAACATGGCTGGGCTTTCGCGAAACGCTGTAGATGAACTGGGAAGTCATCCTATTAGAAGATATTCTTCGCACTTCATCCCATTGAAATCAAGAATTCGACAACATCTCTTCATGGATTAATCGCTGCTGAGCCGGTTGTTGTGCAGCCTGATCGGGATTGTCATGGGATTGTAAAGTCCAATTGACTAAGCTTGTTTGTTATGCCTAATCTTCGCATCTTCTCACACTTACTCTGCGATTCCGTACACGATTTGCGTTAAGTAATCACTGCCTAAGGCAAAATGGCAACCCTGACAAAATTTGCAGGAGAATATTTAACAATCTGTGGAAAAATAGTGCAATCTTCACAATAACTCTCGTCTCACTCTTCTCTTTTCTCCGATGGCCTTCAGAATTACTGAACAGATTCTTCCCAACGCTTTGGTGCGAAACCGCTCCGTGTTGTTCTTCTACTTTGTCCGTCCACTGAGGAATTTCTGACATACATGTTTTTTAAATGTGTACTTTCATCGAATTATGGCCCAGTATTGATCGAAAATGTTAAACAAGTGAAGAAATGTTTTTAGACGTAGTCATCCTACTTGGAAACCTTTTACGACTTATTCGTTCCATGGTATAAGAAGGATTTCAAAAGTACTATGGAATCCAAATCCATGAAAAAAAGAATTGAAAGAAGACTTTCGTTGTTCTGTTCTTAGATTTTTACTACATTACTCTATAGGTGCTCAGTTTAATAATAAACTGTATTATGACCAAATTTGTCCTTCAACTAAGTGGCGACAGACGGATTTGCGCCAGATCTTGGCATCGCGTCATCACGCCTGAGTGCATTCTGCACGTCGTATTGGGTACGTAACTAGAAAATCAGTCAATTATCTTAGATTGCTATCATGTTAAGAAAAAAATTTGCCCCAAAATCCGACGCTTACTTACGGTTTTGTGTGCTAGACTAGGCCGACGATGTTCGCTAAATTTTGGATTTTTAGGAAAATTTCATTTAGTGTATTGTGCACTTGCGAAACACCGTCGCTGTTTGAAAGGAGCCCTCGGGTTATGTGGTTTCTACGGATCTCACAAGAAGGAACGCTGAAGAAAAACCATCTTTATTGAAAAGGCTTATTGTTTTCAGATGCCGTAGGTTTAAGCTTGGCCATCAGAAAAGCTGTATTATGATGTTACGTTGAAAGGCTGGAAGAGAAATTGATTAGTAGTCAACAGTACGTTTCTCAGTGTCTGCTTTTGATTCCTCGCTGGTAATATTTTCGTCGAAAAATTTGTAGTAAATTGAATTACGCGCCAAATTGCTGCTGCAGTTACAGTAATGTGTAGTGACGATCGGGTATGATTGATTATCGGTTTAACGGTTCAACGGCGGATGAACTGCGACGAGGACTATGGCAACGAATGAGACGTCGGCACGGAATCAATAATGTGAATCAATTTTCATTCCATCATCCACTTCATTTCTTTGTCTAATACGATCATAACCTGTTCTTTATGTACGTCAATTTAAGTTCATCTAAATAAACGTGTTAGTGTAGTACAAAGAGCTCATCAATGACCGAGCGACCGACCGACCGACGATGTTTACTGACGATTTGCTGAGGACGAGTCGAGCGAGGTGGGCGCGGTTTCGCGGCATCGAACGATGTTGTGCTTACGAAGCCGCTAAAGTGCCACATTTGCAAGAAAAGTGGATTATAAAGCTATGTGACGAGAAAGTGCTGTGAGTTGAGAAAGAACTGTTTCACAGCTCGCAGTAAGACGTCTGTGGTAAGTATAGTAAGTTCGTTGTTAATGATGATCAGAGCACGTACTGTCATGAACGGCGTAGAACCTTCCTTGTATCAACAGTGATCTTGTGAAGCTGAAAAAGAGCAGAGAAATAAAATAATTTAAAGAAAGTTCTTAAGAAGCTTTTAAGTCCCCAATGGATTACTGATCGTCGAATCCTATACTTGCTACACTTAATCCCATTCTTACTATACTAGCTCTTATCCTACGATTTGCTTACGTTCGTCACTCATTAAAGGTCCTGCTTTTTTAATCACACTCGATTTCGGTGTCTAGCAGAAACTACGGCATTCGTTTAAAAACTACATTAGTATGCAGTACAAAGTACAGTATCTACAGTGAACCTCAACGTATTCTACAATATTTATGGAGCGAATAAGTTGTCTTTATGAAGCCACATCGAAAATACTTTAACCGTGAATGCAATGAGAAAAGCTGTTCTCTTCTTTTGTAGATTTTAATAGGACATGAAACGGGCACATTATGATGTACAACTGTTTTAAGCCTCGGCCTCAGCCGAAGAATCACTCTAAAAATCTGGCGAGTACTGTAGATGACAGCTGATCCTCCTAATTATAATTCACACCTTTAGCCATATGGGGAGCGGATGCAGAGGGTGGATGGGAGGATCAAATTTCCGAGTCGATTCACACATTGTCATTGGTTGACCGACTTAAGTTTATCG